ACACACTTTTGCAAAGTGATTATTAGTTCCACAAGCTCTGCATGGTTTTCCATAGGCCGGGCAGTGCTCTTTGCCACGTGTGTGTGTATTCCCACAGTATTTACATGCTACGGGGCTCTCTGTGTTCACCGTTCGTGGTGAATTACTCTGCCTCGATTGGTTTTGTCTGAATGTCTGCCTAGCAACAGCGTGAACAGTATCAACGTCGGAGCGTGGGGTTTCCGTTTCCATTGCTCTCATTCTCATGTCAGTGACTTCAGCAGTGCGGCACATTTCGATGGCAGTTACTAATGTTAAGCCTCTCTCTCTCAGTAGACGCCGGCGCGTATTCTCATTTGCAATTCCCAGTACTATTTTGTCACGAATCAGTTCATCTTTCAATCCCCCGTATTCACAAGTGGCGGATTTCTCTCTCAAACGGGTTACAAAGTTGTGTACTGACTCACCCTCTTCCTGTTTGCAGCTTCCGAAAACGAACCGCTCGTAAATTACGTTTCTGGCGGGTTTGAAGTAATTCTCCAATGCATCCAATATAGCCTTTGCATCACACTGTTGTCGTGCCGTGAGGGTGAGATTGTGCCGGTAGATATGCCTGCATTCGCTGCCCATTAAACTCCTCAGAGTTGCCGCTTGTACCTCGTTGGGTTTCTCACGTAGACCGGTCGCCAGCGCATAGTCCTCGAATTCATCCCTGAAGTTGTCCCAATTAGTATTCCAGTCCCCTGTGAGAACCATGTGATTTGGTGGCGGAATGTTCGCTGCCATAGCAATGGAATAGGAGATTTCTTTGTCTTCAGTCATGGAGGTAGGTAGTGATGCTAGCTAGCCAGCTAACACGAGTTGATCAGTGTTGTGAGTAGGAAACGGCTTGTGTTCGCATATGGAACGTAACTGCGCCTATACTGTACTTAGCTACAAAAATAACAAACGTGTGTTTTCCGAGCCACTTCTGATACCATGTTTCTGTATGGTATGTTGGATTAAGGAATAAAGACAGACACCAATGTTCAGTTCAATAGCCTTGTTCAGCCTTGTACAAATCCCTACGCGTGGAGTCTGGGGAACAGTCCAACTAGTCGATTACCTATCAACTAGACTCCGTAACAGGTGGTCCCGGGGATCGAACCCACTACCTTGGCGTTACAAGCGCCGTGCTCTACCACCATCCTGCTTTCCACTACCGGACCTCCCTTTTGGACTCACCACGGACACTAGGACATTACGGTACCACACCTGCTCTGAACCTGGATCTGTTACCCTCCCTGTAAACCTGGACTTGCTCTTTCCCTATTATTGGAAACCTGGACAAATTGAACTTTGTAAATAAACCTGTTAAACCTTCTCTGGCTCGGTGTAGTTGTCTGCATTTGGGTTCAAATCCAGTTAAATCATGACAATACCCTCCTCTATTGCCTGCACTAACCATGGAACTGTGCGATGACACAGCCAAGTACTGCGCCATGCATCGGGTTCAAACTGTTATGGCTGCTTCATAACGATTGTTAGCTTACATGTCTTTAAAAAAAAATATTATCAACTGTTACTAATGATCCTCAGCAACAACCACATGGTTGTGATGGCATTTACAGAGGAAGCAATGTAATTAAATGGAATGATAATTTAGGCTATTCAGGAATACGCCTAGAGAGAAAAGTGCATAAAAAGGTTATAATGTTCCTTTTAAGCGCGCTTAACTTGGGTTAGAATTCCCCCCTATGATAATACACACAGGTTTGTTATTGACCTTGGAAAGGAATACACTTGTTTGGAAAGACAGTAATTATTAGCTTTTGGAAGCAATAAGAAAGTGTGACTGTGGTCTTTCAAACCCTCACTCACAGTGTGCACTGTATTGTTGGGTGTTTAATCTGTCACCTCCCATGGCCTCATCATCCCCAAATGAAGCATCGACAAAGATTCTTATGAAGTATTACTGAATTAGCATTGGCACAGTTTCAGTGCATGCAAGGAACCGGAGAATGGATGGCCTTCTTTAGAGTGGAGGGAGAGGGGCATGTAGGGGTGAGTGTCTGAAAGTATCAGGTAATACTTACTGTAAATAAACAGAGACAGACACTACCCAGTGCACGCAACATGTAAAGCGTTGGTCCCATGTTTCATGAGCTGAAATAAAAGATCCCAGAAATGTTCCATACGCACAAAACATTTATTTCTCTAAAGTGTTGTGCACACATTTGTTTACATCCCTGTTAGTGAGCATTTATCCTTTGCCAAGATAATCCATCCACCTGACAGGTGTGGCATATCAAGAAGCTGATTAAACTGCATCATCATTAAACAGGTGCACCTTGTGCTGGGGACAATAAAAGGCCACTCTAAAATGTGCAGTTTTGTCACAACACAATGCCACAGATGTCTCAAGTTTTGAGGGAGCATGCAATTGGCATGCTGACTGCAGGAATGTCCACCAAAGCTGTTGCCAGAGAGTTGAATGTTCATTTCTCTATCATAAGCCACCTCCAACGTCGTTTTAGAGAATTTGGCAGTACGTCCAACCGGCCTCACAACCACAGACCACGTGTATGGCATCGTGTAGGCGAGTGGTTTGCTGATGTCAACTTTGTGAACAGCGTGTCCCATGGTGGCGGTGGGGTTATGGTATGTGCAGGCATAAGCTTCGGACAACGAACACAATTGCATTTTATCGATGGCAATTTGAATACACAGAGATACCGTGACGAGATCCTGAGGCCCATTGTCGTGCTGTTCATCTACCGCCATCACCTCATGTTTCAGCATAATAATGCATGGTCCTATGTCGCAAGGATCTGTACACAATTCCTGGAAGCTGAACATTTCCCCGTTCTTCCATGGCCTGCATACTCACCAGACATGTCACCCATTGAGCATGTTTGGGATGCTCTGGGCGACGTGTATGACAGCGTGTACCAGTTCCCGCAAATATCCAGCAACTTCGCACAGCCATTGAAGAGGAGTGGGACAACATTCCACAATCAACAGCCTGATCAACTCTATGCAAAGAAGATGTGTTGCGCTGCATGAGTCAAATGATGGTCACACCAGATACTGACTCGTTTTCTGATCCACGCCCCTACCTTTTTTTAAAGGTATCTGTGACCAACAGATACAAATCTGTATTCCCAGTCATGTGAAATCCATAGATTAGGGCATAATGAATGTATTTAAATTGACTGATTTCCTTACATGAACTGTAACTCAGGAAAATCTTTAAAATTGTTGCATGTTGCATTTTGTTCAGTATACATACAGAGTCAGCTGCTATACCAATGTTATTTCCTATTACTATAGAACCATGTCACATGGGTTCATAACTTTGAATAGTCTACTTTTACAATACTGGTTTTTACATTAAGAGAAACTTCTCTAAAAGTGGTGGAATACCTTGCAAAGACAGTTGAACTATTCATAATTGACCTGTTGACTGTGTTTTGGTTAAAAATGTTCTATGTCTTGTTAGCAATAAAATATAGACATTTCATTTCAATGATATCAAATAACAATAAATAATCAAGTAATATAGAGGACAAATAACCATAAACAAAAAAGTAAAAATTTATTATTTAATGTGAAATAGGTTCTCCTATAGATTAACTATTATTTATATAATATATTATAAACTTCAGAACCATTTGACTAGTAGTCTCTAGTGCAAGATGAGACAAGAACACAGCCTTAGACATTGGCGCCCTCGTCTGGTGAAAATGAATAATGTCGCAAGTGACATAGGACAGAAATAAGCGTTGGATATTTAGATAAAAGAACAACAATCAATTAAACTGTTTAACCACACGTGGTTGTATTTAAAGGAATCAACAGATTTCGCACCAAGTATTTGAGAGCGAAAACTTGTTATTCAGGAATTCCAACATCACTTGGGGCCCCCGTGTAGCTCAGTTGGTCGAGCATGGCGTTTGCAACGCCAGGGTTGTGGGTTCGTTTCCCGGGGGGGGGCAGTATGAAACATGTATGCACTCACTAACTGTAAGTCGCTCTGGATAAGAGCGTCTGCTAAATGACTAAAATGTAAATGTAATGTTTTGAGTTCTTTGAGCACGCACCCATTCACATCGACGGGGCTGTAGTGGAGCGGGTCGAGAGCTTCAAGTTCCTCGATATCCACATCATTAGGATCTATCATGGTCCACACACACCAACACAGTCGTGAAGAGGGCACGACAAGGCCTCTTCCCCCTCAGGAGGCTGAAAAGATTTGCATGGGCCCTCAGATCCTCAAAAGTTCCACAGCTGCCCAATTGAGAGCATCTTGACTGGGTGCATCACCGCTTGGTATTGCAACAAGGTCAGATCGTGAAGTCAATGATCGGGTCGGAAAGTCGGAGCTCTAGAAAGATGCCAGGGTTCCCGACTTGGAATTCATAGTTCGATGACAAGTCAAAACGATTTTTCCCCGAGTTCCCAGGTGTCATTAACGCACTGAGGTCAGAGATTTCCGAGTTCCCAGTTGTTATGAACGCAGCATATCTGCCAACCATCAATTTATATATACACTAGATAAATTATTGGGGGCGCTGTGTTGAAGCCACCATGCCTCCATCTTGGCACTCCCCACAGTTTTATTTTTTTAGAAGCTATAGAAATGCATTTATTAATGTCTACATAATTTTTTTACCACATGTATTATATTACAGACACCTTAATGCAAACTTTGAAATTAGATTATGTGAGCTAAACATAAATATGAAAAAATATATAAAAACATGATCCTTAAAGTAGAATTTTTAGAGATTACTAATGAAAGGCCTCCTGTAGCTCAGTTGGTAGAGCATGGTGCTTGCAACGCCAGGGTTGTGGGTTCGATTCCCACGGGGGGCCAGTATGAAAAATGTATGCACTCACTAACTGTAAGACGCTCTGGATAAGAGTGTCTGCTAAATGACTAAAATGTAAATGAATACTGTAGAATTTCATTCATTCCTATGGAGGACTGCTCCTACCCGGGAGTGCCAATATGGCCGACCGGCTGCTTCAAAGCCTCTCAATGGCCAATACATAGCATCAGTCATCCAGGGTTTATATACATCATTTCTGGCAAACTATTCAGTATCATTCGATAGCAGTAGACCAAAATGGCCATCATCAATAACTTGGCCTTTCTTGCTTTATTGGTTGTAACATTAACAGTTGCATTGGCTAGTGCCGATGACCGAACGAAAACGGTGGAATTCAACGTAAAACCCGGCGGAGAGGTCCACACGTTCTCCGAGAAAATGGTAAACGATATTAGCTAGCTAGTTATGCTAGCTAGCTGATGCATGAGCTAGCAACAACATTCAGCTAGTAAAAAGTACTGCTAGTGAAGTCGTGTATGCTGCATTATGTGCTCAGAACAATTTTGGCGTCATGGAGCTGTTGTAACTTACTATTAGATCATGTTTGTGGCACAAATATGCATACGAATTGACTGTTTAGCCAAAGAGGGTTAGCCAGCATGCTAACTTGCCGGATAGTTCCCTGCAAGCTATCGTGCTGTTGGATATTCACATAGCTATGGTAGCTAATTCAAATAACAAACAGGCATATGATGGCACCACTCACAAATGAAATCTAATTTAAACCATCTAAAAATAATAATAATAACCAGATGATTTTTAAAAGGCTCTGGTCGTCGCATGATGATGAGGCAACGACCTCTGATATGCTGACACGTCTCTACCAGAGTGCCACAAGGAGGACTTTCATTGGTCTAGAATAGAGCTATACTTCCTCCATGGTAATTGTCCAGAGTCAATAGCTGTGTTCGAATACTAACCGTACTATTTGTGACGTAAATTTAGTATGTAGTATGCTTATTGGTCATAGTATTGATATACACTGCTCAAAAAAATAAAGGGAACACTAAAATAACACATCCTAGATCTGAATGAATGAAATAATCTTCTTAAATACTTTTTTCTTTACATAGTTGAATGTGCTGACAACAAAATCACAAAAAAATTATCAATGGAAATCAAATGTATCAACCCATGGAGGTCTGGATTTGGAGTCACCCTCAAAATTAAAGTGGAAAACCACACTACAGGCTGATCCAACTTTGATGTAATGTCCTTAAAACAAGTCAAAATGAGGCTCAGTAGTGTGTGTGGCCTCCACGTGCCTGTATGACCTCCCTACAACGCCTGGGCATGCTCCTGATGAGGTGGCGGATGGTCTCCTGAGTGATCTCCTCCCAGACCTGGACTAAAGCATCCGCCAACTCCTGGACAGTCTGTGGTGCAATGTGGCGTTGGTGGATGGAGCGAGACATGATGTCCCAGATGTGCTCAATTGGATTCAGGTCTGGGGAACGGGCGGGCCAGTCCATAGCATCAATGCCTTCCTCTTGTAGGAACTGCTGACACACTCCAGCCACATGAGGTCTAGCATTGTCTTGCATTAGGAGGAACCCAGGGCCAACCGCACCAGCATATGGTCTCACAAGGGGTCTGAGGATCTCATCTCGGTACCTAATGGCAGTCAGGCTACCTCTGGCAAGCACATGGAGGGCTGTGCGGCCCCCCAAATAAATGCCAACCCACACCATGACTGACCCACCGTCAAACCGGTCATGCTGGAGGATGTTGCAGGCAGCAGAACGTTCTCCACGGTGTCTCCAGACTCTGTCACGTCTGTCACGTGCTCAGTGTGAACCTGCTTTCATCTGTGAAGAGCGAAAACGTCTTGGTGTTCTCTGGCAAATGCCAAACGTCCTGCACGGTGTTGGGCTGTAAGCACAACCCCCACCTGTGGACGTCGGGCCCTCATACCACCCTCATGGAGTCTGTTTCTGACCGTTTGAGCAGACACATGCACATTTGTGGCCTGCTGGAGGTCATTTTGCAGGGCTCTGGCAGTGCTCCTCCTGCTCCTCCTTGCACAAAGGTAGAGGTAGCAGTCCTGCTGCTGGGTTGTTGCCCTCCTACGGCCTCCTCCACGTCTCCTGATGTACTGGCCTGTCTCCTGGTAGCGCCTCCATGCTCTGGACACTACACTGACAGACACAGCAAACCTTCTTGCCACAGCTCGCATTGATGTGCCATCCTGGATGAGCTGCACTACCTGAGCCACTTGTGTGAAAGCACCGCCAGCATTCAAAAGTGACCAAAACATCAGCCAGGAAGCATAGGAACTGAGAAGTGGTCTGTGGTCACCACCTGCAAAACCAGTCCTTTATTGGGGGTGTCTTGCTAATTGCCTATAATTTCCACCTGTTGTCTCTTCCATTTGCACAACAGCATGTGAAATGTATTGTCAATCAGTGTTGCTTCCTAAGTGGACAGTTTGATTTCACAGAAGTGTGATTGACTTGGAGTTACATTGTGTTGTTTAAGTGTTCCCTTTATTTTTTTGAGCAGTGTAGTTCATATGCCAAAACTTCCCGGGTGTTGTACTACATTCGCCAAAATACGAAGTATACAAGCAGTGGACACTATTTACGTGCTTTTGGTCCCATAATGCAATTCTTCCGAAAACGGGCGTGGCTTCACAACAGCTTCAGATTTCAAGAAAGTGGTGGAAAATATGCAGCCGAAGTCCGACGAGAGCGGATACAAATTCATTACTTTAACTAATTATGACAAATGTTGAGCTATGTAATAAAGTAATGCCTTTTCAAATAAGTTACACGTTATGTTGTCTGACAATTTGTTAGCTTTGCTAGCCTTACGAACCGCATAGCATATCATTACAGCAGTTGCTTGTATGTACCGGTATATGTTATCTAGCTACCGTCCTAACGTTAGTTGGCTACTAATACATCGAACTTGCCAGTATATTAACTATATGCTATCTAACTAACTACCCAACGTTTATTGACTTGATTATACACGTCATTCTTAGTTTAGCTAAGTGGTTTAGACGTTGTGCGTTCTCAATGGACATTGTTAATGAAGTCGTAAAATGTCTAACAAGCTGGCAAGAAGTTGCATAGCAACAGCATCAACTTCCAGTAGACAGGCGACGCGCTAGTACACTCAACTGAAAGGATACTGATCGTTTACAGTATACTAAAAAATGAACTAATAGTATATAGTATATACTCATTAAGTGTTCTTAGATACAGCCCTTAGCCGTGGTATATTGGCCATATACCACAAACCCCCGAGGTGCCTTATTGCTATTATAAACTGGTTACCAATGTAATTAGAACAGTGTAAAAATAAATGTTTTGTCATACCGGTGGTATACCAAGGCTGTCAGCCAATTAACATTCAAGGCTCGAACCACCCAGTTTATAATACCTAATTTTAAACCGGGTAGTTTGGCTCCTGGATGCTGATTGGCTGAAAGCCGTGTTATATGATGCCGCGTTCAAAACAACTGGGAACTCAGAAATCTCAGACTTCCGACTTCAGTGCGTTAGACAACTGGGAACTTGGGAAAAAAAAAAAACGAGCTCCGACTGGGAAAAATAGTTTTGAATGGTCATCCAACTTGGAATTCCATGTCGTAAACTCGGGCATCTTTCTAGAGCTCAGACTTTCCGACCTGAAGATGACTGACGTCATGATATGACCTAGTTTTTTCTCAAGTTCCCAGTTGTCTTGAAGCACCATGAGACAGTATACCACAGGTATGATGCAAAACGACTTGTTTACTGTTCTAATTACGTTGGTAACCTCTTTATAATATCAATAGCGCACCTCAGGGGTTTGTGGTATATGGCCAATATACCATGGCTAAGGGCTGTATCCAGGCACTCTGTGTTGCGTTGTGCTAAGAACAGCCCTTAGCTGTGGTATATTGGCCATATAACACAGCCCCTCGGGCCTTATTGCATAATTATAAACTGAATGGTTCGAGCCCTGAATGCTGACAGCCGTGGTATATCAGACCGTATACCAGGTGTATGACAAAACATGTATGTTTACTGTTCTAATTACGTTGGTAACCAGTTTATAATAGCAATAAGGCACCTCGGGGGTTTGTGATATATGGCCGATATACCACGGCTAAGGGCTGTATCCAGGCACTCCGCGTTGCGTCGTGCTTAAGAACAGCCCTTAGCCGTGGTATATTGGCCATATACCACACCTCCTCGGGCGTTATTGCTGAAATATACAATAGTAGCCTATGCATTTTTGAAAATCAAGTGCCCCTATTTATTACAAATTGCAGATCTTTGAGATAATAATGAGCATTGTTTGACTCCCAAAGATCCCATTTGACTTCCAAACAATTAGGCCTACAAATAATGAACACACATTTGTCTTGTCTATTAATTATGTTCATTCCTGGCTCCATTTAATCACCAAGAAAATGTAATTAATGTCTACAATTCCTACTACTTTCACAGAGAGAATATGAATGTTCATTCACTTATGCATCACAAGGGGGAACCAACGAGGTAAGTTGTATCCTAATTAAAGTTGAGGTTTTTTCAACCTAATAAATAGGACAGTTCATTCTAGTCTAGTGTTGAAACATAGGCTACCTGCTGTAAACTGATTAATAGGTTTCTAGTGTGAAGTGTAAAACTAAATTCTAATGTAGATCACCAGAAAGTACATTTCAACCTTTGTCAGAATACATAATCAAAATCAAAATATTGATATTCTAATAACATATATTCATGTTGTGTTGTTTTAACAGCAATGGCTGATGAGTGTGGGCCTGAGCGATGACGACGGCCTGTTCTCCTGCTCAGTGTGGAGGTAAGCTGTAAATCCGTCTGTGAGGTTACACTCTGAACAATGGATGTTAGGATGCAGAGATATCCATGTACACTGAATTACTTACTCATTCAAGTGTCGCATGGTGGTTATTCACCCGAGATGTCCCAGTTCAATCAGTTCCAGTTTGTCATCTTGACTTTGTCTAATAAATAACTAATAGCAGAATCAACAGACTTCTGTAGTGATTTAATCTGTCTTCATTTTGATTTCTTTCTTCCTTTTTGTTGATAGACCCCAGGGGAAGTCCTACCTGTTTTTCACACAGTTCAAGGCAGAGTTGAAAGGAGCCAAGGTTGAATATGCCAGCGCATATGTAAGTATCCAACATACAGATGGGTCATCTAATTTGCTATCCTATCTGCATTTCTACATAATAATGCATTGGAGCAGAAACTTTGCTAACATGTTTTGTTGTATAAAGTAGATAACGTATCTGTCCAATATCAGCATATCGTTGCTGTAGCATTGACTTGTCTTCCCCTCTGGTCTCCTGGTTCAAGTGCGCTATTGTCTGTCTCAGTGAAAATGAGGTAAAACTGCACATCACCATGGAAACATTTCTTCTGAGTTTCCGGTGTGTTCCTACACATTTTCTGACTTCTGTCTGTCTTTATCCTGATTTACTGGCAAGCTAAATCAAAGCTAATATAGGGTTTATATGGGTAGAGATGATCAAAGAGATTGTTATGGCAACACACATAGGTACATCCCCTATGCATTTATTTGGACAGTGAGGCTAAAAGTTTTAATTTGGCTCTATACTCCAGCATTTTGGATTTGAGATCAAATGTATTATATGAGGCGACAGTACAGATTGTCGCCTTTTATTTTAGGGTATTTTCATACATATCTGTTTTACCGTTTAGAGATGAAAGCACTTTATGTATCTAGTCCCTCCATTTGAAGGTATCATTCATTTAGGACTATTTTCAGCTGGCGTTAAACCAGCGCAATTTTCAAATGCAAGCTTGTCTGCAATTTCGACCTGTTAAAGTCGGCGCTCTTCTGTTTTCAAACCCTAGCGCCAGGATTGGTAATTTACCTGAGCTCGCTTGCGTTGAGGTGGGAGAGGTGGCAATATCTGAGATGTGTCCTTAAAAACGTGCGACAAAGTGCCAATTTCAGGCAGCGCTGGTGGGGATATTTAAGACCAACCAAAAGCTGGTCTTAACGGTTGGTTATGGCATGGATTTTGACAGCGGAAGCGCAGCCTATCCAGCTGTGACGCACATTGCCCATATGTACATGGAACAAGATAGATTTTTGTGTCCATAAACCTGATATTTAGAAACATAAAAAACACATTTGTTTTCCCATTTAATGTTATTAAAAACCATAGCCTCCCCTCCTCTCAACGAAGGCTGTTTTTTTGGGGGTCCTGCCCAATGCATTCACCAAGTAGTCAATACTATCATAAAGGGTTTGACTCATGAGACTGCTTTGAAATGTATCTTAATCACCAAAGCTTAATTAAAATATAACGTTTGGGAGTATCCTCTTTTTACTGTATCTATGTAGGCAATTGTACATTATTTTAGCCAGCTCCTATTATTCTTTTGGATGTGCATAAAACCCCCTCCATGTTGGCTATATGACCATCATGGAACTACAGATGAGATGATCCATTGACACTCGTATTTAGAAACATTGAAGTTATTTTCCTGTAACAATTGCTTGTTTTTCGTTTGATTAAAAAACAAGCCCTTATAGGCTACCCTTACCCTACTATAATGAAAGCTGGTTCAACAGCAATGCATCTAGTATCTTTCTTATCCTGGCCATGCATTAGCCAAATAGCCTATCCATAAAAGGTTTCTAAGTGGTCTACTCGTGAGGCTTTTGCCTACATGCTTTTGCATTATTCATAATTCACATAGGCCTAGCTGCAGTGCAAAGGCTACTCCATTCGGCTTGTATCCATCCCCAGAGCGTCTGCTAAATGACCAATTATTATTATTATTATTATTTTCAAAGAGCGCCTCTTGTCCGGTTACCAAAGACGCACTCCTCCAAACTTATTCAAATGATTCAGTCCTGTAATCGCCCAGAGGTGGGACCAAGTCACTATTATTCGAGTCACAAACAAGTCTCAAGTCACAAGGTCAGAGTCTCAAGTCGAGTCCCAAGAAGAAAGGGATAAAGTCCAAGTTGTACATTCAAAGAGCAAGTCGAGTCAAGTTTTTTCAAGTCAAGTAAAAAAAATCTATACATGCAATGACTTGTTCACCTACAAATCGAAACCTTGGGACTATAGTTCTATCTGATGTTTTTGTAAAAAATGAGTTAGTCACATAATAGATCTTTAGATGATTCTTCATACCAGATAGAACTTTCTAGTTTGGAAATTTTCACTTACAATTTACTTTGTTGAAAAAATCTAACTTCACAGACAAAATGAAAAACTAGAAAGTTCTATCTGCATTAACCCATTTTAACTTGGCACTATAAGGTTCTATCTGCAATCCAATCACCAGCTTGAACAAATACAGACGGACCCATCAGAACACATCTTTGCCATCTCCCACTAAGTATGGTCTAGGCTAGTCTAGCCAGCATAAAAAAAAACTGTCAGAAATCTTAAAGTAAATGATGGCACATCATTGTTCAGTGATGGCAGTAATTTGTCTGATGATCATATAATACATTTCTTAATGTATTTGATGTATTCTGACTATCTTGGTAAAAGTGTTATTCAATCATTTTTATTTTTTATTTTTTATTTTAGTCATTTAGCAGACGCTCTTATCCAGAGCGACTTACAGTTAGTGCATACGTTTTCATACTGGCCCCCCGTGGGAAACGAACCCACAACCCTGGCGTTGCAAGTGCCATGCTCTACCAACTGAGCTACACGGGGCCATTTATGTATTCAAATGGCTACAGTTTTCTTAAAAACGGAACATGTCTAATTCAGAAGTGTCAGATAGAACCTTCTGGTGGAACCCAGAGTGACACGCACACAGGGTCAACAATCGCTGCGTAAATGTAGCCTGTCATTAGTCATAAACGGTGATGCATTTTCAAAATGCAAGATACAGAAATTAACTGCATTTTAGACCTGCATTTTGAGCTGAATGTCATTCATAGCGGTCAATATCAACTGGCGATATCATGTAACATTGTTACTTCTCTGGAGTCCAGAGCAAGCAGGATCATATGGCCTACCTGTATGAGGCGGGGGTTGCAGGATCAGATGGAAAGCATGATCTGTAGCCTTTTTCTTCCTCACAAATATTGTAATTAATTTGCCATAATTAAGGAACTCTGGAGCTCTGTCAGAGTGACCATCGGGTTCTTGGTCACCTCCCTGACCAAGGCCCTTCTCCCCAGATTGCTCTGTTTGGCCGGGCGGCCAGCTCTAGGAAGAGTCTAGGTGGTTCCAAACTTCTTCCATTTAAGAATGATGGAGGCCACTGTGTTATTGGGGACCCTCAATGTCTGTTGGTACCCTTCCCCAGATCGGTGCCTCGACACAATCCTGTCTCGGAGCTCTACGGACAATGCCTTCGACCTCATGGCTTGGTTTTTGCTCTGACATGCACTGTCAACTGTGGGACCTTATATAGACAGGTGTGTTCCTTTCAAATCATGTCCAATCAATTGAATTTACCACAGGTGGACTCCAATCAAGTTGTAGAAACATCTCAAGGATGATGGTGGTCCTCTGTAGCTCAACTGGTAGAGCACGGCGCTTGTAACGCCAAGGTAGTGGGTTCAATCCCCGGGACCACCCATACACAAAAATGTATGCACGCATGACTGTAAGTCGCTTTGGATAAAAGCGTCTGCTAAATGGCATATTATATTATTATTATTATATTATGATCAATGGAAACAGGATGCACCTGAGCTCAATTTCGAGTCTCATAGCAAAGGGTCTGAATACTTATATAAATAAGGTATTTCTGTTTTTTATTTTTAATACATTTGCAAAAAATTCTAAAAACCTGTTTTCGCTTCGTCATTATGGGGTGTTGTGTGTAGATTGATGAGGAACATTTTTAATTTAATCAATTTTAGAATAAGGCTGTAACGTAACAAAATGTGGAAAAAGTGAAGGGGTCTGAATACCTTCCGAATGCACTGTACTATACAATTTACGGGAGCCTAGTATTTGTGTTTTATTTGAGAAGTGTCAAGGCCTATAATCGTTGAAGTAAATTACAACAATGTTGACTGCCAACACTCCAAACATATTGAGCAAACACTGGATGTTTCTTTTTTTTACTATGACTCTTTACTGTAGTCTATGCTATTTAATAAACTGTATCAATCCACAATGGATTAGAAAGAGAATATTCCGGAGTTGATGACAACGCAAAGACATCAATAACAGAATTTGAGACAATGGCTAGATACCCATAGACTTCCTTGCAGTCATTGTGCTAACGCTAGTTAACATTGGCACGCGAAACTACTAACTTTTCTTCATACTGGACACAGAGACATAAAAATGGTATCCACAAGTTCATCTGACTCTGGGGAAGTATTGTATATAAAGGGCCTCATTGCCAAAATCCCAAAGTATCCCTTTAAGCCATCAAAACCCAGCCATTTCATGGAACTCATAATTCCTGCAGTGAAAATAGCTAAAATATTTCTGATTTCTATAGCCGTAGTGCCATCGCTAAGATTGACATTGCATTAGGTTTGTTAAAATAGACCCCATAGTGTAGGCCTATTAAATCAATCATGATTATCCATAATCATGTTAGCATCCACATGAATGTAGAAGTGTTCAGAAACATTCTATTCTTAATTACAATAAAAGTGACTCCAAAATGACACAATACATTATTTACCATTCATTTCTATTGGGCACAACAACATCTGAAACACAACCAAAACAAACTGCAAATGCATCTAACTACTTTGTAGAGTCACAAGCTTGATGTAGTCATTGTGTGCTAGGAATATGGGACCAAATACTAAATGTTTGACTGAATGTAATACACTATAAGTGAATTTGTCCAAATACTTGACTCCTTCACATAGGGGGGGACTAGATGACCTACATAAAGTGCTTTAATTTCTAAACGGTAAAACAGATATGAATGAAAATACCCTCAAATAAAAGGTGACATTCTGTACTGTCATCTCATATAAAACACTTGATCTCAAATCCAAAATGCTGGCGTATAGAGCCAAATTAAAAGATTGAAAGAAGTGAGTCTTATTCAGTACATTTAGTAATTGCTAAAGTCTACCAGTTGTCCTCTGTAGCTCAGCTGGTAGAGCACGGCGCTTGTAACGCCAGGGTAGTGGGTTTGAACTCCGGGACCACCCATACACAAACATTTATGCACGCATGACTGTAAGTCGCTTTGGATAAAAGCGTCTGCTAAATGGCATATTATTATTATTATTATTATTATTATTATTATTATTATTATTACCAACCTTGCCATTAGGCATCCCAGCTAAGATAGACAAGCTAACTACTCTAACTTGATTGATAGCCTGAAATTGCTTCTTGGTAGTTAGTTATGAGGTTGGGAGATTGGGAACCTATCTGGGCTAGCTAAAGCAAACATTATAAAATTGCTAGGTGGCTAGTAGTATTACAGAGAAACGACAACAAAAAATGCAACAATCTTTTTTTTTTTTTTTTAACAGGACAAATCTGAGGGGGCACGGGCCCCTGTGTCCCCTTATGGGCTCTGTAGGGGAGTGTATTTGAGAGAACTATATGTATTGCAGTCAGAGAATACATTGTTAGCATGTTGCATTCAGATCTAACAATTTATTATTCTCCCAAGTAAATGCTGCTGTGTTCAGGCAACTGTCTCAGATTAGTCGCATCACATGTAAATTGCACGCAGTGATTCCCAAAACTGTTTGTGCTGCGACCCACCCACCATAAGCTTTTGTTATCTCCCTCTGATTTACTAAGTAAACTAGACCAGTGATTGTAGTCACGACCCAGTTTCCCACCACAACTCCACATGAATCAATGGCAACTCACCAGTGGTTCCCAAAACTCCATTCAGGGAAACACTGTTCTGAAACATTGTTCTGAAACACTGTTCTGAGGAGTCTGACAGGGGAGGAGGCTTTGTACATCGCAGCACACACCGCTCTCCCACAGGGCTCTCCTTGAACAGCCTCCCTCGCAAGGACAAAGCCCCAGACAGATACTGTCACCAGAACAGCACTCTTCAACCTCTCCTCCTGCCGGCACTGTCCCCTGTGAAAAGACAGAGAGAAAAAATAACACTCACTAAATGTTGTGATAAAAATATCCAGCGCTCCTAAAAAGCAAAGCAACTTCTCTACCTTGTCACTCCACTGTAACTCTCCTTGCCTCTGCCATGATGAGTTTCTCTTTTTTCCATTCACCAACCCTTTCCCTTGTTTGTTATTTATTTTCTCGTCAATCCCCTGCTCTCATCTCTGCCCGTCATCGTCTCTACAGTCCCAGACTGCAGCGGGAGGACAGAGGGATGTGACTTTGAAGGAAGATGAATTCACTGTGGGAGATTCTACAGGTGAGATGACTAGTCTGCTTACTGCTGATCTACTGCACTCCATCTGTCTGTCACAGCAGCTCAAAACTCTTCTTTTTTTTTTTACCCAATTGTCTGGAATGAAGAGTTTCCTACAAAAGTGGATGGAATTATACTATGTTGTTGTTGACATTCTGCCATCATTGCTACGATTTTCCAATATGAAGATTTAATCTACAATATATTATAACAATTTACTGAATGTTGTTTTTGATTGAACGTTGTACTTGTGTTATGATTCCCACGGGGGGCCAGTATGAAAAGATAAAAAGATAGTGTAAGTCGCTCTGGATAAGAGCGTCTGCTAAATGACTAAAATGTAAATGTAATGATGATGTGGTAACTAATTTCCTCTCCCATCGCCCTTCCAGTGACCCACAAAGATGGGAAGTTCCGCGCTGAGCTCTCCAAACTGACCATTATTGGCCGGACACGACACGATGAGCTCTGATTGGCTGGAAATTTGAATGACTATTGTCATATCGTCCAATCGTGACACCCAGGCGAGCTCTCAAGACTGGCCAATGTACCCTACTGTCCACTACAATGGCAAATGGACGGCATTCAAACACAAAGGACGATACAGTAATGAGTTACAGCCTGTCAGCTTGGTGGTCTACAACTTTACTGTTCAATAAGTCTATCGTTTATTTTTTATATTTTTTTTTAGGAATATGGCTTTACTGTATGAGAATGTATATGGGGATGGCTGATCTTGGTGGGTGTAGAGAGATGTAGGGTCAGAGGATTTATCATTCTTATGCTAAGCCAGGGAAATGTGAGTAATCTATTGGCTTCATCGTGCACACGTAAACACAATTATGTTTTTCCAATCTGCTGCTTCTCTCTGCAAGTAAATGGTTAACACAGACAGAGTAGAGCAGTGAGCCCAGTTTCTCTGTGCTTTTGATCTAGATAGAGCATGGAGCACCTGATTCAACCAACCAATCATCATTCAATGCGGTTGATTAAGTTTTACTCCCTCCTTTCTCACTCCTACCAACAGTCTTAATGAAGCTAGGTTGAGTTTTAGAACAGATGCTAATTTGGCCCACCAGGATTAGAGATGTACTGTCTTGCATTGATGTATGGGAAAGTTAGTTAGCAGCACGTACCATATCCATCCAGGTTTATCCCTGTCTGTCCAGAGGAGGACCTCTGTGTTGATAGTGGAGTCCCCCTCCTCACCAGCGAGAGTCCCTGGGGTCCCAACAGGAAATGCCACAAGGCGCTGACAGGCATCGAGAGACAGACAAACAGAAAGTTACTTATTTTTTAAATTGTATTTTCTACTCTGTGTTCTGATTCACAGTGTGCAACTTATGCTCCAATAAAAGTCATGTCTGGGAATGTGAAATGTTTGTTCTCATGTTTTGTTTTGACAGAGCTGTGCTTGATCAGAAAGTCCCTGCTTCGTGATGGTTGTCAGCTTGGATTACTTTCAGAAAAGTTCAGTGTGCTGATGTTTTACAGTGCACACATTTTCAGTTCAGTAGATTCCATAGACCTACAGTGTAACTTAATGTTCCACATAAGAATGGAGCTATTACGCAAAGTAATTCAAAATGCTTAAAGTTTTTGGACATTACAAATGTATATGTGTGCACATCAGTCTTGGCAATACATTGTTTTCCCTTCCTACTACAATGGCACCTTTTATTTGCCAATGTTTCACTTTCTGTGTTGGCCTCTCTCTAACCAAACTATAAACACGTAATTACTATTGTCCATCTGTTACTACTAGAACTGTTTACTTTGAACTTTCCTGTGTCTATTTAACCATCAGAAAACATAGCCAGAGCCAACATTGTTTAAAATTGCATTGTCATGTATTCCTAAGATCCCTGATTAGAACCATGTTTCCAGTCCCAAATGTATCTGCTGAAGTACATGTCAAGTCCACAAGAGGGCATCAAATTAAACACTTATGATCTACAACATTCAATGACATTTTACAACAACTGTGATACATTTAGATTGCTTCTGAACTACGGACACGATGATACGACCCAATGAGTGAGTCATGACTTCTCTCTCATAAATGCTCTCAGACAGTTTGGCCTGCATTTCCCTGTCTCTCTTTCTTCCTCTGTATCTCCTGACTGACATTTACAGGGAACAGATGGTGCTTGTGGAGGAGGAGGTTCAGGCTAGAGGCAGTGGAAATGCAATAGTGTCACCACCAGGGGCCCTTTGAAGGATAGGACTAATGACCAGCTGCCCCCCTGTCTCTGTCCCCGTCTCACCCTGACACACATCCAAGCACAGGGTGACCATGTCAGCCAAGAGACACGTGACGCCAAAGAGGCATTCTCACTTCCTATTTGGCCCTGTCAATATCCTGCAATGTGAGCATCTGCATCGGGACCTAGTCTTTACAAGTGCAGTGGAGCCAGCTGTTGCTGTCTCTTATCCTCCTATTAAGATTCGGTCAGAGCCAAGGCAGGAAGGGGGACAGGGTGTCAGCACAAACGCGGCATGGCTTTGCTGACATATACTCACCCGAGACGCCTCCCGTCACCTTGGAAACTTGGCCTCTACTCCTGCAGCTCTGGCTGTGGCTCCATCCATCCAACCGCCTCCCTCACACCGTGGTCGAGAGCAGCCTTCTTTTCACAGTGTATGGGGGAGTCTTCCTGGGGTCCTTTCCTTTACTTGCCCGATCAAAGTTTCCATTGTGCGGGTAAGGAGGAGGCTTGCGGCCCCAGGGCCCTGGAACTCTCCCTGGGCCATGAGGGGCCACCTGGCCCTGGGTTAGCCCCAGTGATTTAGCAGATGTTGGCCTCAGCCCCTCCACCCTGGTCTGGGTCTCAGGGTCTCTGGGTTGGCTGACAGGGAGAGGCTCCACCATGGGTGGCCCTGCTTGGGTCGATATGGTGACAGAAAGACCAAGGGCAGAGGGATGAGGAGGGGGACTACTTTTTTTTGGGGAAAGCCCAAGGTTGTGAAAGAGAGTAGGGTTGAGGGGGTAATGTAGACTGCTCTTTTTGGGGTAAGAAGCAGGATTGTGTGGGTAACGCTGACTCTTGACTGAGGGAGCAGGGGTGTTGGGGTGAGGTGGGTTGGTACTGAGGGGGGAAAGAACAGGGGTGGGAGGGCAAACAGGGCTACTCCTATGAGGGCTGGGAGCAGGTTGGTGGGGGAGGCAGACCGGGCTGGAGGCAGGGTTGTGAGGCTGGTGTGAGTTAGTCCTGATGGGGGAAGACAGAGCTGCCTCCCCCTGCCTGGCCTCCACACCCCTGAGCCTCTGATGGCTGCTGCCCTTCGCCACTCCACTGGAGCTGGAGGTGGAGCTGCTGTCGATGGGCAGGCTGGGGCTGGCCTCCTCTTCACTCAGGTCAATGGATGAGGTCAGCAGCTCAATCTGCTGTACCACCTGTGAGAGGGATTAGGCTACACGGTCAGAGATGGGGCTGGAGAGAAAGTTTGATCTGCCTCAACCTTTGTTCTGTGTGCTCGTGCTGTTGCTAAACAAATTGTTTTTCTCACTTAACTATTCAAATTCGTTGGTGTCTTCCTTCAGGTCCCTGACCTTCTGGTCTGGGAAGAGATTTTCCCTGACCACACTACAACAGCATCGCTGGATGTTTCTCCACACATTTATTCAACTTTCTAACATTTACAATACCCTCGCTCTCAGGCTGCACTGATGCTGAGCTTTCAGATGCAGCCGGATAGTGTGAGAGGGGCCGATTTACATGTCACTTTTACAGGATGAGAGGCAAGGTTAAGGCATTTCCATAAATGGATTAAAAGCATGGTTCCAGCTGCTCCCCTTTCAGCATCTGGTGGTGGAGGGACTGGAGAGGAGAGGGTACCACTGCTGAGCATCACTTTCAACCATTGCATACATTAGGTAAATAGAGCATAGCGAACGCCACTTCCTACCTTTAAAAATTCAGTGAAAACTTCACCTCTGTGCTGTTTCATAGAAAGACTGTCACACTGTGGTGGATAGATACTTTGCAAGCAGTGATTCTGAGTGCAAGAATAACAGTGTATATCAATGTAGACGCCTCTTTAATGTATGTAAAAGTAACAAAGTAGGGACTGGGATTATGGTCTTTCTGGAACATGCAAAAATAGCCCACGGTACAACTGCTCTTTAACAGTCCCTTCAGGACCTGAAATAGCGTGATAATTTGTTTATACGAATATCAAAGGAACATCAAAAGAACCTAGCTGGAATATCTTGGAGGCTAAATGACAATACCAGGATCTCTCTCTCCCTCAGAAACAACTTAAAATCCTTGCATCAAAGACAGACCCCAGCTGTAACTTATAGGCAAACAGAAATGTCTTTACCTCCTTCATCTCCTGATGGATGTCCTTCAGGCCTCCTAGAACCTCCTCCAAGTTCTCCACCACTTTCCGGATCTGATCCCGGACCACCTTCTGGTGCTTCTTTGACCCAGTCAGGCCTGACCCACTCCTGGAGCCCTGGTCACCACTGGGGGGCCTGGTCTGGACGTCCTCTGGGGCGGGACAGGGCTTACTGGGACTCTGCTGAGGTTTGAGAGTGGGACCTCCCATATCTCTCTGAGGAACCTCTGTGGAGAAGATGACCTCATGCAGAGAGCTGGGTCCATTGTAACCCTCCACAGGTCTAGTCAAGTCTTTCTGGTGTAATTTGGTCTCTAGTCCGCTTACTGGTCTAGTCAAGTCTTTCTGGTGTAATTTGGTCTCTGGTCCGCTTACAGGTCTAGTCAAGTCTTTCTGGTGTAGTTTGGTCTCTGGTCCGCTTACAGGTCTAGTCAAGTCTCTCTGGCTGTTTCGGACATTCTTTTTGTTGGAACTCAAGGTGGAACTGAAACTCTGGTGTCTTGGTAAGCCCTGTGTGGCTGTGGCTGAATCCACCCAGCTGGATGTATGAAGGTCTTTCTGACAAGTCTGTCTAGAATAGCCCCAAAGCTGGTCCTCCAAACAAACAGGCACTTTACAGCCGTCTTGACCTTTGAACTGTGTTGGCGGAGCGGGGCCGAGGACGGGGGCCTTCACGTACTTCCTGACTGAAGGGTGTGGTAAAGTCTGGCGCGGGTTCCCAACAAAGGAGCATTCTGTGTAGTGGTCCCTGACAGATGACCTGTGTCTCAGGCCTGGCTCTGGAGACTGGCCATGGCTCCACCTGGAAGGACTGCCCGCTTGGCTGCTCAAATCTGGCTGCACATGATGCTCCCACAAGCCGAAGTGCTGTCTCCTAGCCTCCAGACCCAGTTCATTCAAATGGGGACCCGTCCTTTCCTTCCCATGTATGTTGTTCATCACCTCTTGTGATGTAAAGCCTACCTCCTTGGCTCTGTTGGGATAGGTAAGGTTGGCGTCAGCCCGCCTGCGCTGCCCATTGAGTCCCATTTTACTGTGGTGGGCCCTGAGTCCATTGTGAAGCCAGAGGTCGAGATGAGGGTTGCTGTGTTGAACGCCTCTGTGCTCCCCAGGCGCTCTGGTGTCTGAGAACATGATAGAAGCAGTCCAGCAGTCACAGAGAAAGACTCCTTAAAGAATGAGCTTTTCCTCCAGCTTCCCGCCCTTGCCATTCACATGGAATGTTTTTCTCATTGACTTCTCTCTCTCCTGCTCTTTCCCTCTTTCTCCCCAAAAATGTATTCCGCTTATTTCTCCTTAGACCCCCACCCACTTGCTCCCTTTTCCTGTCCAAGCCTGTGTCTCCCTCTCACTCGCTTTCCCTCCCTGCATCTCTGGCTCAGTTGCTGTGGCACGCTTCCTGTCTCTCCCCCTCTCTCACTCATTCCCCCTCCCGCCCGCACTGCGCTGTCTCCCTTTCTCGCTCTTTCTTCCTCCCACTCTTTCTCACTGCTGTACCTCTCTCTTTCTCCCTCTGTCGCTCTCTCTCTCTCTGTCTGTCTCTCTCTCTCTTGCCCCTTTATATCCCGCTTGTGGAGGGAGACTAGTGGAACTTCAATCAAGATTCCTGTTTTTTAATCCCTGGTAGACGCTGTGTCTCCGCGTGAGCCTCCCCACTCCAGCTCTCATCTGATTACTCCTGTTCTGGCTCAGCAGTCCATAGCAACACTGCACCCATAGCATACAGCAGTTAGTTACACAAGCATAAAAAAACCCTGACCAGGTACAAGCTGTAACACACCTCCCCCAGCCTGTTAGCTAAAGTACTGCCACCAATGGAGCCGAGGCACCTCTTATTGTTTCATCTTATTTTCTGCTTCTCTGACTTCTATTTGTTCCAATTATGCAGTGGCAGCTGCTATTTGCAGCTCAATTCAAATCCCATCTTGGCATGGCAACTGTCTGGTTTAGTTGGCATGTGTCTGACAAGCCCAGAGATGCCTCCTAGGTGTCTGTTTACTCACCGTGCAGCTCCCTCCTTGGATGCACCCTAAATGAGACAATGACAGTCACTGAGAACACTGACAGTGGCTGTCACTCGGGAAGAATAGTTTCAGCATTTGCCACAAACTTACTCAGCACAACAAACTACTCATGTGGAATCCCCTTTAGTGGCAATAGGAAAATTAATGGAGAAATACTGCAGAAAGACCATGACATGGTCTAATAAATACATGTACTCAAAGTGATGGGGGTTAATCCCCATTCCAGGGTAAGAAGATTCCTTCTCAAAACGTGAGCGCCTGTGCTTAGTTGACCACTGCTGTGTGGATAACAACTAACTCTGGAAGTAATAGAGGGGGCTGTCTTAATCCCTCTAAAGCTCTACTTGAACATGGTTTACGCTCTTTCCCATTCCCCAGCTGCTTCCAATTGCTGTTTCCTTTGTTTCAGTGAACACCTCTGCTGCACAATCACTCCATTCCCCATTGTTCACAAGGTCACTCGCGAACGTAAACAGATCCCCAAAAATGCACACACCTGGATTGTAGTGCTCTCGTGTGCTGAACTTTAGTCATCATGTAGCTACCTCTGATTAAAACTCTCTAATTCCAACCAATCACCGTCCCACTGTGTGCGGACCATAAATAACGTCCAGGCAGCGAAATGCACAATGGTAGCTCATTTTAAAGTCAACGTGGAATAATAAGTATGTGTCGCAGTTGCTCGTCTCACAGCAGTCGACGTACGGTGGAGCCCAGTTAGAGACCTTCACTCCATCCATTACGGTGATGTGTGTGCTTATAGAGCCACCACAACTTTACAGGACTACATAGTAACAGAGCCACAGTAGACTAGCTCCAGTGCATTCGGAAAGTATTCAGACCCCTTCTCTTTTTCCACATTTTGTTATATTACAGCCTTATTCTAAAATGGATGAAAAAAAAAAAAAATCCTCATCAATCTACACACAATACATTTTTGCAAATGTATTAAAAATTAAAAACAGAAACCTTATTTACATAAGTATTCAGACCCTTTGCTATGAGACTCGAAATTGAGCTCAGGTGCATCCTGTTTCCATTGATCATCCTTGAGATGTTTCTACAACTTGATTGGAGTCCACCTGTGGTCAATTCATTGATTTGAAAGGCACACACCTGTCTACATAAGGTCCCATCTCTGCAGCAATCCACCAATCAGGCCTTTATGGTAGAGTGGCCAGACGGAAACCACTCCTCAGTGAAAGGCACATGACATCCCGCTTGGAGTTTGCCAAAAGGCTCCTAAAGGACTGTCAGACCATCAGACACAAAATTATCTGGTCTGATGAAACCAAGATTGAACTCCTTGGCCTGAATGCCAAGACTCACGTCTGGAGGAAACCTGGCACCATCCCTACAGTGAAGCATGGTGGTGGCAGCATCATGCTGTGGGGATGTTTTTCAGCGGCAGGGACTGGGAGACTAGTCAGGATCAAGGGAAAGATGAACGGAGCAAAGTACAAAAAGATCCTTGATGAAAACCTGCTCCAGAGCGCTCAGGACCTCAGACTGGGGAGAAGGTTCACCTTCCAACAGGACAACGACCCTAAGCACACAGCCAAGACAACGCAGGAGTTGCTTCGGGACAAGTCTCTGAATGTCCTTGAGTGGCCCAGCCAGAGCCCGGACTTGAACCCAATCGAACATCTCTGGAGAGACCTGAAAATAGCTGTGCAGCTATGCTCCCCATCCAACCTGACAGAGCTTGAGAGGATCTGCAGAGAATGGGAGAAACTCCCCAAATACAGGTGTTTCAAGTTTGTAGCATCATACCCAATAAGACTCAAGGTTGTAATCGCTGCCAAAGGTGCTTCAACAAAGTACAGAGTAAAGGGTCTGAATACTTATGTAAATGTGATATTTACGTTTTTTATTTTTGAATAAATTAGCAAACATGCCTAAAAACCTGTTTTTGCTTTGTCATTATGGGCTTTTGTGTGTAGATTGATGAGGGAACAAAACAATTTAATACATTTTAGAATAAGGCTGTAACATAACAAAATGTGGAAAAAGTCAAGGGGTCTGAATACTTTCCGAAAGCACTGAATATCCTGGTGGAGCTTCTGCCTCTGTATACACGGCACAGAGACATCAGAGAGAAGCAGAAGCAGGTTATGTAAGAGTATGGTGGAGATATTCCTCTAGAGCGGTGAAAAAAGGGTTTCAGTCACAGTCTGAAGCACCCAAGGGCATGTTGGTAACTTTATATAGGCACTTGATGATTCAAGAGCAACACAGTATAGCAACTATTGAACTTTTTGTTGCTGTCTTAGAGAATGACTCATTACAATAGGAAAAAAAGCAGTATTTTTGTAAGTAACCATTGAAGTGACTGAATTCCCTCAGTTCTTATTCAAGCACTGTCATTCCTGAGTCCATCAGGAGGTCTTGCCACTGTGTAAAATAATATGTTGGTCGGTTCCTGTGTATTTTTTGTTTTTCTTTGGATATCTTCAGGCTTACATCTTTGAAATAACCCGTCAGTCAGGTGCACTCAGAGGATTCACTAGAGCAAGAGGAAAAGAAGACAGGGGGTTTGAAAGACTGACTTCCAAGTTCCAGGTAACTGTCATCGCTCCAATTGCCAGAGGGGATAGCCTCTTTAAGCATAAAGGATGAGGCAGAGTTCACAAAATAAAAGCAAATATAGCCGTTTTCTAACCCAGGATCTACATAGAAAAGAAACTCAAGCATGTAGGAAACTCAATAACAATTCAGCATATGAACTGGAATGTAGTGCTGTGTAGCTCATACATGAAGTAAAAGTGCTCTGTGGATTTCTGAGATTCGCTTGTATATAAGAGACAATACTGCAGGTGCATTACCTTTTCAGGACATTAAAATGATAGCTCATTACGATCCATAAATGGAAAAGATAAGCATTGAAAAAAAGTCACATTTGACATGCCTATCTTTCCCATTCATTTGATATTGAGGCATAGCTGGAGCTACACAACAGATGGTGTGGGACTCATGACATTCAACCACTTTTGAGGTCTGAAAATATCTGAAAAACTTTGATTTTGGAGTGATCTATCCCTTTGAAAACTCATCTCTATGGATGCAGTTCATTAGGATGCCAAGCTGTGATGTGTCTGGTGTTTGGGACAGGGTTGGGGTAGATAGACTCTTTCCATACATACAGTATAGTTAACACAAGGCCTGAGTGGATGTGAGTGGACTGACTAATGATGTCTTCACAGGCCTGCATGGTTCAGCTGCCTCCCTTCTTAAGATGCAGGACTTCTCCTTTGTAGTTGGTTCATTATGTAAAAATTATAATAAAGCCTTAATGGAAGGCAGCTTCATACCAAAATGTATTAAAGTTCACATTAATATCCACTTTGATAATCAAGTCAGGGACTGGCAGGTCCAAAGTTTAATTTTCAGCCAGACCATTGAAGCAAGTCACACTGGGGAGAAAAACAACATTAATAGGTATCAGAGGAGGCTGGTGGGAGGAACTATAGGAGGACAGGCTCATTAATGGCTGGAATGGAATCGATGGAACGGAGTCAAACACGTTGCTTCCATATGTTTGGTATCATTCCATTGATTCCATTCCAGCCATGGTCCTCTGTAGCTCAATTGGTAGAGCATGGCGCTTGTAACGCCAGGGTAGTGGGTTCGATCCCCGGGACCACCCATACGTAAAAATGTATGCACACATGACTGTAAGTCGCTTTGGATAAAAGCGTCTGCTAAATGGCATATTATTATTATTATTATATTATTACAATGAGCCCATCCTCCTATAGCTCCTCCCACCAGCCTCCACTGATAGGTATACAGTATACAATAGGTATATACAAAATTCTTTAGAAATGTGTGCCAGCCATTTTCTGCTAGGCTTCAATGTCTAATTCTCTGTCCACCCTGAAAGAGAATTGTATCTTATTAGGATTCAGAAAATGATTGGACACTTACCAGTACCCTTTCAAGTCTTCACAATCATTCCTTTACATGTCAAAAATGCCTTGAGTGGCTAATCTAGCCTGACACTGTCTTTCGGAAATGATCAAAACCAATAGCTAAGAATGAATTCACACAGCTGGCATTCGAGGTAGATGATAAAAGCGCTTCCCATTCACAAGCTGATAGAAAATGTATTTCCTGAATCCTGACCAAGGTAGAATTACTGTAGCCATGTCATTGCTAAGGGGAAAGCTTCATTTCCGCTCCATTGGCCTCCAGCTTTACCTTTGACCTGGGCACGCCTGTTTGGAAATTAATTAAGAGGGAAAAAAGGACCCAAATCAAAATTGTTTGTCAGATAGGAAGTTAGGCTTGTGTTTAGTTTGGGAACATGGCTAACAATATCCTGACCGGGCGGAAGGGATTTTCCTGACCCAATCCAGGTCAGACGCACACAGATTATGTTCTGATCTAGCTGCTGAAACAGCATTAAGCTGGAAAAGGAGTGGTGCTTTATCAAGAAAAAACAAACAATTTATTGATGTAAAAAAAACTAGTATTCATGTATATTTGTCATGTCTAATACGGACAAGGCACACTAAAACAAACCTATGTACAACAATGTATAGCGAAGAATACAAAAAAACACTTCACAATCCATAGTTAGAAATACAACATTACTTAAAATAATGTATATTTTGTGAGCTAATGTAAAATGTATAAAGCACATGAATTGGTCCATATTTAATCCTCTAACATTGGGTCCAATTCTAGTAAGTGTGTCATGAGCACAAGCTCTCAGACTTAAACCTGAGAAGTGTTGAGATTGGAAAGAATGGCATCTTTGACATTTAAGAACTAAGGTATCTCAAGTATTCTGGGACTTCCATTTTCTAGTCCTGTGAGCATTCACTTAATACAACTCCCCCAGACGTAGGAGGATGAAGTCAAATGGAGACTACATCATGAAATAAATGGAGGGAATAAAAAAAATATATAGAATGTTACATTTGAAAACAATCTTTATCAAGTTCATACCGATTTCCCTAAAGGTCCTTCTCATGATTGCTGAGATTGCTTATCTCTCCCTTTCCTCTCTTTGGCAGAACTGCTACAGTACAGACCAGGGAGGTTTCTGTGACAGAGTAGAGAGAGACACAGCAGATCCTGGAGAACACAGCCCTCATTACAACTCTGCTGCAGCTCCTAACCGGTGTACACTGTCACTGAGAATACTAAATGAGGCCACAGCGCAAACAGTCTCCTAGACAGGCTCTGGCCGTACAAAAACACACATATAGGCCGAGAAAATAAAACAACATCCATTATGTGCAGGGTAGTAGTATATAACAAACTAAACAACAATCTAAATTGTTCATTAAAAAACAACTTCACTCCCAAATAGGACTTGCATCAAGCAGAGATGTGATCTCAATCACATTAAATGAGGCTGGGGTGTTGGAGTGGATTAGCTGTAGGTAGGCTATTATTGGCCTGGAGTGGGGGGTTAATTCATGGAAGGTACAATCCGGTATTGTTTTAGTCTCTGCTCTAATCCATACTATGTTACGTGACGAAACAGCCTAGGCCTCACCAACAAAGGCAACCTACTTCCCTTTCCCATATCCTCCAGTCAGTAACATTGACATGACTGTATATGGAGAGTCTCTCTCGGCTGCGCAGAAATCAAAGTGTTTTCTGGGCGGGGGTTTCGGTACAGCTCAGATGAAGTTAAAGAGCTGATGAGTCAGCAGCTCAGTGACAATTAGGGTGCACGGCACAATCAACTTCCTCCATGTTTATAGCCCCATGACCCAAATTACAAGCTCTTTGGTGTGATAGCAATAATTAGGGACAAAGCAGGCTACAGGTATTTTGATCCAAACACAGTGCAGACTTCCTTAGGATATGGAGTGTAAATGTGATGCTGAAACTGGATTATTGGTCTGTTGCGTTAATTATTGCAACAGAGTCCCTTATGGTTGTCCTGAAGTAGGTTAAAATCTACTATTGTCCTCTTCGCTCTGAAAGCATTTCAGCCCATTAAATTCACTACTCATACATATGATCTTCAGGCTGTGTTTGGGAGACCTTCCAGGGGGACAGACAGCCATTGAAAAAAGAGGGGGGGGGGGGGGGGGGGGGTCAAAGGTTGCCCTCGTCCAGCATCTTGTTGACACCGTCGCAGATCCTCTGCAGGTGGCTGCGGTACACCTCGGAGGGGCCGTAGAGAGCCGCCAGGAAGTCACAGTCGGCGAAGTGGTTGAACACGTGGTTGACCCGCGAGTGGCTCTTGGCTGTCAGGTGGCGGTTGATTGCCTGGTGCAGCAGCTCCCGGCACTCGTTCAGGATGGCGCTCATCACACGCCGGTCGAATGTGAATTCGATCTGGTGGAAGCTGACGGCCGTCATGGCCAGTGTGTGGACCTTCTTCCTGGAAAGGAGACGTGGACATTGTTGTTATGCATGATGGCTTAGGTACAGTCGATGGCAAAGGACATGCCATTGCTTTTTTTCCCAGCCCAACACAATGATTGGTTTCATTAAGGCTGGAATAAAAACCAGTGCAAATTACAACCCTCAACATCCAGGGCTGGCAACCCTAATCAAAGACTATTATACTCCCGTTAAAGATGCACTCCAGGATCTTAAGCATAACACATTTGTAACATCTAGTACGAATTGGATGATGTAGTACACAAAAAAACAGGAACCACTTTTGGCTCATGAGCACCACTTTCAAAATTACTGGCTGAAATTATACAAAAGTTTGAGAGTGCATCTTTAATGCTATCTACAGCCATAATTATTAAATACATAATCAATCATATATCATGTAATCATATAGCATAATCAACCTGAAGCCCTCGACCAGCACCAGTTCCTCCCCGTTGAACTGGTTGTTGCGGTAGAGGATGCCCAGCTTCACCACCATCTTGATGAGGTCCTTGATGATCTTCTGGGCCTCCTTGCGGTTGCGTGTGTACTCCTTGGTGACGCGGTAGAGCTCGTCCAGCACCTCGCTGCTGGTGTCATCAATGAAGAGGTTGGCCACACTCTTGGTGGCCATCTTGCTCATCAGCTTCTTCTGGGCCTGAAGGGCCAGGGTCTTAGTACTGAAGGAGTCCATGATGACGTCTGGAGCGAGGGATGAGGAGAGAGAGAGAAGAGAGGAGAGGAGAGGTTATACAGATGCACACTCACTAGAAATTATGTTTGGCTGCTTTTCCTCCACTCTGCGGTCTGACTCATCCCAAACCATCTCAATCTCTGATAGTCCCACTAAGCCCAAACCTTCCATTCCTGTGGCAGTCCTCATGAGAGCCAGTTTCATCATAGTGCTTGATGGTTTTTGCAACTGCACTTGAAGAAACTTTCAAAGTTCTTGAAATGTTCCGTATTGACTGACCTTCATGTCTTAAAGTAATGATGGACTGTCGTTTCTCTTTGCTTATTTGAGCTGTTCTTGCCATAATACAGACTTGGTCTTTTACCAAATAGGGCTATCTTCTGGTATACCCCCCCCCCCTACCTTGTCACAACACAACTGATTGGCTCAAACACATTAAGGAGGAAATAAATTCCACAAATTAACTTTTAAGAAGGCACACCTGTTAATTGAAATGCATTCCAGGTGACTACCTCATGAAGCTGGTTGAGAGAATGCCAAAAGTGTGCAAAGCTGTCATCAAGGCAAAGGGTGGCTATTTGAAGAATCTCAAATATAAAATATATTTTGATTTGTTTAACACTTCTTTGGTTACTACATGATTCCATATGTGTTATTTAATCATTTTGATGTCTTCACTATTATTCTACAATGTCAATTTTTTTTTACAAATAAAGAAAAACCCTTGAATGAGTAGGTGTGTCCAAACTTTTGACTGGTAGTGTAGTTGAATGGAAACGTACCGTAGTAGGCAATTGTCACATCTATATTCTCTGCTCTATGTCTAAATGTCGACAAAAAAAGTAATAAAATCACTGGACAAGTTAATGGAAAAATATCTAGTGAAACCTGATAGTGGATTTTCTTAATGTTTTATTACATACAGGGAGGAAATAACAGATGTTTATCTGGATACATTCATGACAACATATGGGAAACATGTTTGCCTTTTACATTTTTTGTGCCAGCAGATGATCCAAAATCATAAGCCAAAGCACAGAGAGAGAATCTGGCACACATTTTCATTCATGGGCAATAAAGATAAAACACCAGGTAAAAAAAACCTAGGTGTCATTTTAGATTTTGAACTCAATTTCGAATCACACATTAGGAATGTGACCAAAATAGCTTTTTACCACCTGAGGAACATTGCCAAGGTGTGGCCGTTTCTATCTCTGGCTGAAACAGAGAGACTCATCCATGCTTTTATTACAAGCAGGCTTGACTACTGTAATGCTCTCCTGTCTGGTCTACCCAAGAAAGCTATTGGTCAACTGAAAAACATACAGAATGCTGCAGCACGTGTACTGACCAAGACTAGAGCACACATTACACCGGTTTTAAAGGCTCTGCACTGGCTACATTTTACGATTATTCTATTGGTTTTTAAATCAATCCACCATTGTGCACCCCAATACATGTCAGATGTGCTTTTGAGTGGTGTACCCAGTAGGTCCCTCAGGTCCTCTGGCACTGGCCTTTTAACTATCCCAAAGCCTAGGACCAAGAGGCATGGAGAAGCAGCCTTTAGTTACTATGCCCCCAGCCTCTGGAATAGCCTGAGAACCTGAGGGGGGCCGAAACTGTGGACATATTTAAAAGAGATGCTAAAACACAACTTTTTAGCTTTGCTTTTCCTTAGGGTGCTTTTTTTTGTTTCAGTTTGTTGTGTAGTAAAATATTTGTTTTTATTTTCATTGTTTTTGTTTTTTCCTGTGAAGCACATTGCGTTGCATCCATGTCTGAAATGTGCTATATACATAAAGCTTGATTTGATTTGCAGTTCTGCAAAGTAGCCAATGATAGGACTGTCTCTTTAACTACCGGCTGACTACACATTTAGAACACAAAATAGGTTTTTGTGTGAGGAATGGAAAGGGAAGGGGATACCTAGTCAGATGTACAACTGAATGCATTCAACCAAAATGTGTCTTCAGCATTTAACCCAACCCCTCTGAAATCAGAGAGATGCGGGGGGCTGCCTTAAATCGACGTCCACGGCGCCCGGGGAGCAGTTGTTGTTGCGGGTTAACTGCCTTGCTCAAGGGCAGAACAGCAGTTTTTTTTCCACCTTGCCGGCTCAGGGATTCCAACCAGCAACCTTTCGGTTACTGGCCCAATGCTCTTAACCGCTAGGCTACCTGCCGCCTCCGCTAGGTTACCTGCTATAACGTATGTGTGTGCGTATTTGTGAAGAGGCTAGCTCCGAGCTCTGTGTGTGTGTGTGTGTGTGTGTGTGTGAGTGTCTGTGTTGCCTGCAAAAGGACAATGACTCAGAGGAAGCCTCAACACATTGTGGCAGCTCATAAACAATGGGTCAGGGGGCCACAGGCTTTCACATCTTCTGCATTTCCTCTGCCAGATGAGCCCAGGCCCCCAGACATTACAGCAGCAGCGCCGCAACAACAGGAACCCAGGAACAACAGGTTCAGCTTCAGCCTGCCTCAGTCCCTAATGAAGTAGGATGAGGTTGCTGAGGTGAGGTTGCAGGTAAGCAGAGCCTAGATCTGTGCCCATCTCTAGCATGCCACACGTCAGTATTTGTGCCCGTTAAAGAGAAACATTAAATGCTACATTAGTGTCACCTCTAATATATGTCAGTATCCTAGCAATCAATACTCCTTCCAAGATTAAAACAATGTCAAACCTTTATTAAAATCCTAAATGTGATCGAATGCTAATCCGAGTGTTCATATTCACAAACAGCAATATTTGCAATTTGTTATTACTGTATATAGTGAGGGAAAAAAGTATTTGATCCCCTGCTGAATTTGTACGTTTGCCCACTGACAAAGACATGATCAGTCTATAATTTTAATGGTAAGTTTATTTGAACAGTGAGAGACAGAATAACAACAAAAAAATCAAGAAAAACGCATGTCAGAAATGTTATAAATTGATTTGCATTTTAAATGAGGGAAATAAGTATTTGACCCCTCTGCAAAACATGACTTAGTACTTGGTGGCAAAACCCTTGTTGGCAATCACAGAGGTCAGACGTTTCTTGTAGTTGGCCACCAGGTTTGCACACATCTCAGGAGGGATTTTGTTCCACTCCTCTTTGCAGATCTTCTCCAAGTCATTAAGGTTTCGAGGCTGACGTTTGGCAACTCGAACCTTCAGCTCCCTCCACAGATTTTCTATGGGATTAAGGTCTGGAGACTGGCTAGGCCACTCCAGGACCATCATGTGCTTCTTCTTGAGCCACTCCTTTGTTGCCTTGGCCATGTGTTTTGGGTCATTGTCATGCTGGAATACCCATCCACAACCCATTTTCAATGCCCTGGCTGAGGGAAGGAGGTTCTCACCCAAGATTTGACGGTACATGGCCCCGTCCATTGTCCTTTTGTTGTCCTGTGCCCTTAGCAGAAAAACACCCCCAAAGCATAATGTTTCCACCTCCATGTTTGACGGTGGGGATGGTGTTCTTGGGGTCATAGGCAGCATTCCTCCTCCTCCAAACACGGCAAGTTGAGTTGATGCCAAAGAGCTCGATTTTGGTCTCATCTGACCACAACACTTTCACCCCGTTCTCCTCTGAATCATTCAGCTGTTCATTGGCAAACTTCAGACGGCCCTGTATATGTGCTTTCTTGAGCAGGGGGACCTTGCGGGCGCTAAAGGATTTCAGTTCTTCATGGCGTAGTGTGTTACCAATTGTTTTCTTGGTGACTATGGTCCCAGCTGCCTTGAGATCATTGACAAGATCCTCCCGTGTAGTTCTGGGCTGATTCCTCACCGTTCTCATGATCATTGCAACTCCACGAGGTGAGATCTTGCATGGAGCCCCAGGCAGAGGGAGATTGACAGTTCTTTTGTGTTTCTTCCATTTGCGAATAATCACACAAACTGTTGTCACCTTCTCACCAAGCTGCTTGGCGATGGTCTTGTAGCCCATTCCAGCCTTGTGTAGGTCTACAGTCTTGTCCCTGACATCCTTGGAGAGCTCTTTGGTCTTGGCCATGGTGGAGAGTTTGGAATCTGATTGATTGATTGCTTCTGTGGACAGGTGTCTTTTATACAGTTAACAAGCTGAGATTAGGAGCACTCCCTTTAAGAGTGTGCTCCTAATCTCAGCTCGTTACCTGTATAAAAGACACCTGGGAGCCAGAAATCTTTCTGATTGAGAGGGGGTCAAATACTTATTTCCCTCATTAAAATGCAAATCAATTTATAACATTTTTTACATGCATTTTTCTTGATTATTTTGTTGTTATTCTGTCTCTCACTGTTCAAATAAACCTACCATTAAAATTATAGACTGATCATTTCTTTGTCAGTGGGCAAACATACAAAATCAGCAGGGGATCAAATACTTTTTTCCCTCATTGTAGCAGCTGACCGGCTGCAGATGAAATGTGCCTGCTATGTAACTACTGTGATTTCCACTCTTCTCTGTCTTTTCAAGAATAACAAATCGGTCTCCTTTGAGTGTCAGCGGGAGGCTTCCAAGGGAGTACCCATGTCAGAAATCCGACAAGCTGTCCCTGCAACACTGTCAGAGAGAGGGATACTATGCCCCTCTATCAGTGGATGTAAAAACCGCCACTTTGCCTGCCACATTCAATCACAATGTGTCAATGAGAATCTAAACAGGGTTGCTTTGAGGAGAGACGAGTACATCTCACGGCACACAAATAAAATCTAAAGTTCACGACTCTCTCTGCTAGAAGTATGAAAAAACATATTCAGTTTATCACAAAACCGGAAAGCAACCTCTGTCCAGTGAAGTCCACAAAGCATATTGCATGTACAGTAACAGACAGTTACATGACCTACAGCATGGTCAATAAGTTCATGTTTCAGACATTTTCGGACCACTAAACAACTACTGATTTAGAACCACAGAGAGTTACCGCAAGTCGCAAAGAAAACAGGAGCTGCATCCATTTCAACTTCAACATCATCAAATCACCTCTGCTTAGTCAAATACAGTGACAACTAAAAGATACCAAAAACTATTTATTCCAATCAACATAAGCTAAATATGATGTGGCTGTCCATGGTTCTGATTTCTGTGTGTGTGTGCGTTCGTGCAAGTAGATGTTGACTCACCCTACTTGTAGAGAAACGCCAATGCCATCCTCCTCTCTTTTATTTTTTGTTGTCCTAGGCTACCTGGCTAAAATGCTTGCTCGCTAGTCTAACTTCCATTCATAGGCAACATTAGCTAGTTAACGTTAGCCTTCTACATCTAGCTACTGTACATATTGAACTTCCATCCTCTCAGACCAGGGGCACAAAAATGTATGCTCTGGCTGGGCCACCCAAGGTCATTCAGAGACTTGTCCCGAAGCCACTCCTGCGTTGTCTTGGCTGTATGCTTAGGGTCGTTGTCCTGTTGGAAGGTGAACCTTCGCCCCAGTCTGAGGTCCTGAGGGCTCTGGAGCAGGTTCTCTCTGTACTTTGCTCTGTTCATCGTTCCCTCGATCCTGACTAGTCTCCCAGTCCCTGCCGCTGAAAAACATCCCCACAGCAGGAAGCTGCCACCACCATGCTTCACCGTAGGGATGGTATTGGCCAGGTGATGAGCGGTGCCTGGTTTCCTCCAGACGTGATGCTCGGCATTCAGGCCAAAGAGTTAAATGTTGCTTTCATCAGACCTGAGAATCTTGTCTCAGAGTCCTTTAGGTGCCTTTTGGCAAACTCCAAGCGGGCTGTCATGTGCCTTTTACTGAAGAGTTGCTTCCGTCTGGCCACTCCACCATAAAGACCTGATTGGTGGAGTGCTGCAGAGATGGTTGTCCTTCTGGAAGCTTCTCCCATCTCCACAGAGGAACTCTGGAGCTCTGTCAGAGTGACCATCGGGTTCTTGGTCACCTCCCTGGCCAAGGCCCTTCTCCCCCTATTGCTCAGTTTGGCGGGCGGCCAGCTCTAGGAAGAGTCTTGGTGGTTCCAAACTCCTTCCATTTAAGAATGATGGAGGCCACTGTGTTCTTGGGGACCTTCAATGCTGCAGAATTCTTGCAGGTTTTTTCTCTGACATGCACTGTCCACTGTGGGACCTTATATAGACAGGTGTGTGCCTTTCCAAATCATGTCCAATCAATTTAATTTACCACAGGTAGAGTCCAATCAAGTTGTAGAAATATCTGAAGGATGATCAATGGAAACAGAATGCACCTGAGCTCAATTTCGAGTCTCATAGCAAAGGGTCTGAATACTGTAAATAAGGTATTTCTGTTTTTTATTTTTAAATAAATTCACAAAAATGTCTAAAAACCTGTTTTGGCTTTGTCATTATGGGGTAGTGTGTGTAGATTGATGAGGGGGGAAAAATAATTGTATTCATTTTAGAATAAGGCTGTAACGTAACAAAATGTGGAAAAAGTGAAGGGGTCTGAATACTTTCCGAATGCTTTATAGTACTCTCAGGGTACCAAACACTCCAGGATCCGGATCATAAGGGGATATGTGAAAGCATGTTATCTGTATCATGTACGGTTCATGGATCATTAGGTCTTACAGGGGGCATGTATAGGTCTAAAAAGTTCCTAGAATTGCAATGTCATCATGGTTCTCAAAAATGTTGTGTTACAAATGTAATAAGCATATCAAACATCCTTCCTCCCAATGAAGTTTCTATGTGAGAATTGCCAGAACAATCTGATTTACCAAAAATATTTTCAGGCTATGCAGGCATGGAATCACCCACAATGGTCATGTAAGATGTAGCCGTGCTTTGTGTCGAGTCTGAACGGATCACCTCACAATCAGCTATTCACATGAAACATTTCCACTGTCTGGTAATGAACAGTATCAATTAGGATTACTGGCTGCTGCAATTTTATCTTTCATCAAGTTGTGTGTTTTTCCCCGTCCTCTCCTCTCTTCTCTTGTGCTGTTGCATAACAGTGGAGGTGCTAATGAGTGCTGGAAACTCAGTTTTGTGTGAGTGTGTGTGTGTGGGGTACATGCGCACATGGTTGTGCAAGTATATATAGTGTTTGAGTACGTCTATTTTGTGTGTGTGTGTGTGTGTGTGAGCGTGCACATGTGTACAGTATGTATCTCTGTGTGTTTCAAGTTTGAATGTCACATGCACTGTCTCCCTAGTGCGCGCGTGCTGTCGTTCTCTCATCCTCCCACATTGTATCAGGGGTTGTGCACAGAGCCTAATAGGGAGACAGTGCCTTCACTCACAACCTCCCACATTGTATCAGGGGTTGTGCACAGAGCCTAATAGGGAGACAGTGCCTTCACTCACAAACCATTCTTTTTTACAGTCTTCTCAGATCTAAAAGAGCCTGCTGCGGGTTTAATAATTAATGTGGCGTCATAAAATGTATCACAGATTAATAATTGATACAAGCAATAAAAAATATAAAAAATAGACCAAGGTAAGAAGTCTGCCGTGACGCCACAGGTGAACCAGGAACAGGGCTGAGGGGCCAAACTCAAACAGTGTGTTCTATTGTAACATTGTAATGATGTTGATTGTTTTCTGCCCAGGGACTACAGTTGAAAATGAGCTCTCTAGCTAAATCTGGTGCAATGGCATGTTGTACATGGTCCCTGACAAATAAACAAATAAATAAAAAATAAAGAGAAGCAATGTCCCAAAGCTATCTCATGTGTCATTTGTCTCTAGTCTGTTGTATATGGTCTACTTTCTATGAAGGATAGGGAGGATTCACTGCCCTTCCAAGAGGACGCGGACAGACCGTTTCAAGTTTCCTAGGTAACAGCTGAAGCTGCCTGGCCAACTGAACTTTGCAGTCTTGTAATCAGGTGAAACATCTCTGTGCTGCGGTTGTCAATGAGTTAACTTCCATCTCCACAGGAATAATCATACATTTCCAGCAGTGCTTGAGTGGCAGAAATCATGACAAACAGGTTCAACATAAATTAATGTATACATCTGGCCCTTCATTGGACACTGTGTTAACAAACCTCCAAACGAGCTTCAATGCCATACAACAATCCTTCAGTAGCCTTCAACTGCTCTTAAACACTAGTAAAACTAAATGCATGCTTTTCAATCGAACGCTGCTAGCACCCGCCCACCCGACTAGAATCACCACTCTCAACGGGTCTGACCTAGAGTATGTGGACAACTACAAATATCTAGGTGTCTGGTTAGACTGTAAACTCAACTTCCAGACTCACATAAAGAATCTCCAATCCAAAGTTAAATCTAGAATCGGCTTCCTATTTCGCAACAAAGCCTCCTTCACTCATGCTGCCAAACATGCCCTCGTAAAACTGACTATCCTACCGATCCTTGACTTCGGCGATGTCATTTACAAAATAGCCTCCAACACTCTACTCAGCAAATTGGATGTAGTCTATCACAGTGCCATCCGTTTTGTCTCCAAAGCCCCATACACTACCCACCACTGTGACCTGTACGCTCTTGTTGGCTGGTCCTCACTACATGTTCGTCGTCAAACCCACTGGCTCCAGGCCATCTATAAATCACTGCTAGGCAAATCCCCGCCTTATCTTAGCTCATTGGTCACCATAGCAGCACCCACCCGTAGTCTGCGCTCCAGCAGGTATATCTCACTGGTCATTCCCAAAGCCAACCCCTCCTTTGGCCGCCATTCCTTCCAGTTCTCTGCTGCCAATGACTGGAACGAATTGCAAAAATCTCTGAAGCTGGAGACTCTTATCTCCCTCAATAACTTTAAGCATCAGTTGTCAGAGCACCTTACCGATCACTGCACCTGTACACAGCCCATCTGAAATTAGCCCACCCAACTACCTCATCCCTATATTGTTATTTATTTTTGCTCTTTTGCACCCCAGTATCTCTATTTGCACATCATCTCTTGCACATCTAGCATTCCAGTGTTAATACTATTGTAATTATTCTGCACTATAGCCTATTTATTGCCTTACCTCCATAACTTGCTACATTTGCACACACTGTATATATATTTTCTGTTGTATTTCTGACTTTATGTTTTTTTTACCCCATATGTAACTCTGTGTTGTTTTTATTGCACTACTTTGCTTTATCTTGGCTAGGTCGCAGTTGTAAATGAGAACCTGTTCTCAACTGGCTTACCTGGTTAAATAAAGGTGAAACAAAAAAAATAAAAAAAAATAAAAAAAATGTTAAGGAAATGAAGCTGGCTTCCTGGCCAAAGTGGAGCTCAGTTCTCAGTTAGCTGAGCAACCAAACTGTAGCAGTAACTGACCCACTTGGTTGTCAGCCATAGCCAGCAAGTGTAGCAACCTACATACAGTACAGCTGCAAGAGGTAACTCATTCATGGCCGCAATTCATGCAAACTTTCAGATGATCCTATTATCCATATTGTAAAGATGCAATCATTCACATCAGAAATGAAAACTGTCATTCAAAACTCATACTGTATATTAATATTAATCAAACATAAAGGTAATAAAAATCGAATCTTGAGTTGCAAACTATGCCTATATTCTACAATAACGTAGGCTAATTATTGAAAGTCTAATGACATTACACACCTATTGGGCATCCCCTTCCTTGAGCCAGTTCTGCCACCTCCCACCTCTCCACTGTATTTTCAAAGGACTAGATATTATTGTTTGCTATGTGTTTCTCAAAGACTTAAATCTTTATCATTCAGTAAAATACCATTAACTTACCTTTCGTTCAAATCAAACCGGATGCGGGGTGTGAGTAAAGAGACCGCGGAGTACAGTGCTACAATTTGACAATTTAATCTAAGCAAAATCTCGAGTCTTCATTATGGCAATCCATAGCAAATCCATGTACAGCTCCATGAATCGGACCTTCGTCTTTCCTCGAGAAAAGGCTCTTCTCAGTTGACTTAATGTAAATGTATGTACTGTTGTGTAAATATTTGAGTGTTTTCTTCTCTCCCTGTTGTAACCCGACTCCTCTTCACAAAAAGTTTCAAACATGAAGGACTTCGAAATTTCAAGATTGATGTTATTATGGACCAATGGAAGAAACCAGTAAGATTGACCAAACCAATCATACTGTGGGAAAATCCCTTTATCGAGTCAACATCCCCCCTCCCATTCTGTTTCCAGTAATTATCGTAATCTAGCTCCGAAATCCAAGGTTGAGAATTTCCCAAATAAAATGGCATTAGGGGAACAATGAGCAGGAACTATGGAGTGTTGGTTAATGTCATAAAGTCCAGTGGACTACACAATTGTTTAATCATAACATTTACATTTAACATTTACATCATTTAGCAGACGCTCTTATCCAGAGCGATTTACAAATTGGTGCATTCACATTATAGCCAGTGGGATAACCACTTTACAATATGTTTATTTTTATTTTTTATTTCTTTGGGGTGGGGTAAGTGTTGGTAGAAGGATTACTTTATCCTATCTCAGGTATTCCTTAAAGAGGTGGGGTTTCAAGTGTCTCCGGAAGGTGGTGAGTGACTCCGCTGTCCTGGCGTCGTGAGGGAGCTTGTTCCACCATTGGGGTGCCAGAGCAGCGAACAGTTCTGACTGGGCTGAGCGGGAACTGTGCTTCCGCAGAGGTAGGGGGGCCAGCAGGCCAGAGGTGGATGAACGCAATGCCCTCGTTTGGGTGTAGGGACTGATCAGAGCCTGAAGGTATGGAGGTGCCGTTCCCCTCACAGCTCCGTAGGCAAGCACCATGGTCTTGTAGCAGATGCGAGCTTCAACTGGAAGCCAGTGGAGTGTGCGGAGGAGCGGGGTGACGTGAGAGAAATTGGGAAGGTTGAACACCAGACGGGCTGCGGCATTCTGGATGAGTTGTAGGGGTTTAATGGCACAGGCAGGGAGCCCAGCCAACAGCGAGTTGCAGTAATCCAGACGGGAGATGACAAGTGCCTGGATTAAGACCTGTGCCGCTTCCTGTGTAAGGCAGGGTCGTACTCTCTGAATGTTGTAGAGCATGAACCTACAGGATCGGGTCACCGCCTTGATGTTAGCGGAGAACGACAGGGTGTTGTCCAGGGTCACGCCAAGGCTCTTCACACTCTGGGAGGAGGACACAACGGAGTTGTCAACCGTGATGGCGAGATCATGGAACGGGCAGTCCTTCCCCGGGAGGAAGAGCAGCTCCGTCTTGCCGAGGTTCAGCTTGAGGTGGTGATCCATCATCCACACTGATATGTCTGCCAGACATGCAGAGATGCGATTCGCCACCTGGTTATCAGAAGGGGGAAAGGAGAAGATTAGTTGTGTGTCGTCTGCGTAGCAATGATAGGAGAGGCCATGTGAGGATATGACAGAGCCAAGTGACTTGGTGTATAGCGAGAATAGGAGAGGGCCTAGAACTGAGCCCTGGGGGACACCAGTGGTGAGAGCACGTGGTGCGGAGACAGATTCTCACCACGCCACTTGGTAGGAGTGACCGGTCAGGTAGGACGCAATCCAAGAGTGAGCCGCGCCGGAGATGCCCAACTCGGAGAGGGTGGAGAGGAGGATCTGATGGTTCACAGTATCAAAGGCAGCAGACAGGTCTAGAAGGACAAGAGCAGAGGAGAGAGAGTTAGCTTTAGCAGTGCGGAGAGCCTCCGTGACACAGAGAAGAACAGTCTCAGTTGAATGACCAGTCTTGAAACCTGACTGGTTTGGATCAAGAAGGTCATTCTGAGAGAGATAGCAAGAGAGTTGGCTAAAGACGGCACGTTCAAGAGTTTTGGAGAGAAAAGAAAGAAGGGATACTGGTCTGTAGTTGTTGACATCAGAGGGATCGAGTGTTGGTTTTTTGAGAAGGGGTGCAACTCTCGCTCTCTTGAAGACGGAAGGGACATAGCCAGCGGTCAAGGATGAGTTGATGAGCGAGGTGAGGTAAGGGAGAAGGTCACCGGAGATGGTCTGGAGAAGAGAGGAGGGGATAGGGTCAAGCGGGCAGGTTGTTGGGCGGCCGGCCGTTACAAGTCGCAAGATTTCATCTGGAGAGAGAGGGGAGAAAGAAGTCAAAGCATAGGGTAGGGCAGTGTGAGCAGGACCAGCAGTGTCATTTGAATTAACAAATGAGGATCGGATGTCGTCAACCTTCTTTTCAAAATGGTTGACGAAGTCTTCCACAGAGAGGGGGGGGGTGAGGAGGATTCAGCAGGGAGGAGAAGGTGGCAAAGAGCTTCCTAGGGTTAGAGGCAGATGCTTGGAATTTAGTGGTAGAAAGTGGCTTTAGCAGCAGAAACAGATGAAGAACATGTAGAGAGGAGGGAGTGAAAAGATGCCAGGTCCGCAAGGAGTTTTCCTCCATTTCCGCTCGGCTGCCTGGAGCCCTGTTCTGTGAGCTCGCAATGAGTCGTCAAGCCACGGAGCAGGAGGGGAGGACCGAGCCGGCCGGGAGGATAGGGACCCAGCGTCGTCCAGGGTAGGGGAGGGAATGGCCGGCAGGGATGTAGCTCAGTTGATAGAGCATGGCGTTTGCAACGCCAGGGTTGTGGGTTCGATTCCCACGGGGGGCCAGTATAAAAAAATATATATATGTAATCACTAACTGTAAGTCGCTCTGGATAAGAGCGTCTGCTAAATGACTAAAATGTAATGTAAATGTGACATAGAGAGTCAAAGGATGCAGAAAGGGAGGAGAGGAGGGTTGAGGAGGCAGAATCAGGAGATTGGAGGGAGAAGGATTGAGCAGATGGAAGAGATGATAGGAGGGTGAGGTCAAAAGCAGAGAGGAGTGGAAAGAAGGAGGCAGAGAGAAATGAGTCAAAGGTAGACGTAGGGAGGTTGAAGTCACCCAGAACTGTGAGAGGTGAGCCATCCTCAGGAAAGGAACTTATCAAGGCGTCAAGCTCATTGATGAACTCTCCAAGGGAACCTGGAGGGCGATAAATGACAAGGATGTTAAGTTTGAATGGGCTAGTGACTGTGACAGCATGGAATTCAAATGAGGAGATAGACAGATGGGTCAGGGGAAAAAGAGAAGATTAATATTTGACCTCATTAAAGGAAAATATTGCCTCAGTTGCTGAGTTGGGTAGAGAGACAGAAACCGAGAGACAGAGAGAGAGAGAAAGAGAGAGAGAGAGAGAGAGAGAGAGAGAGAGAGAGAGCGAGAGAGAGAGAGAGAGAGAGAGAGAGAGAGAGAGAGAGAGAGAGAGATTGTAAAACCAGACACAAGGTGTTTAACAGCAGATATTTTCTGGACAGGAAAGCACAGGTTTTGCCCCGGTTTATGAATTCATGGGTTTAGCAGGAATTCCGGAGGTTATGTTGTTCATTGTGAATCGCATGTTTTAATCAACAATCAACAAGCTCTTTTTTTCTGTTATGGACCTGATGAAAACGAATATAAATAACTCATAAACATTCAAACCAGATTAAATAGGGCTATTTCAAACAGATATCGTAGGTTACATGCATAATCTTATTTATATAATATCACCACATTCATATAGTTAGTTCATAGGCTACTCTGCAATCCAGTCATCCATAATATTATTGGTTTTTATGCTTATTGTCATCCTTATCACAGCGCATCCGTGTGGTGCACAGGGGTGTGTTGTACGCTTTACTCGCTGGACGCTCTAGTAGGCCATTAATTAGATGGCAAGCTTGTTCAGGAGCGCCGTTTAGTGGAGTGTTTGGATATTGCCACTTTGTAACCAATAACATACTGTAGCAAACGGTGATACACTGGGAACTCAAAACAACTGGGAACTCGGAAAAATACGAGGTCAAATCATGACGTCAGTGATCTTCAGGTCGGAAAGTCGGAGCTCTAGAAAGAGGCCCGAGTTCCCTAGTTGGAATTCCGAGTTGGATGGCCGTTCAAATAGATTTTTCCCAGTCAGAGCTAATTTTTTTCCAGAGTTTCCAGTTGTTTTGAACGCACTGAAGTTGGAAGTCTGAGATTTCTGAGTTCCCAATTCCGAGTTCCCAGTTGTTTTGAACGCGGCATTACTCAAATTGAAGGCCAGCCGGGGTACTGCAGGCTTCCATTAGCAACTAAACTATCCTTATAACTTATTCTGTGTACGATTTCAAAATAATCGATTCAAGGACATGAATCTGGTGTATTAGGAGCAATTATTTCTACCATGATTGTCGTTCTCCCTTGGAATCAACCAATAGGAAGCTCTATGCAAAAAAACGTACGCACAATTTAACTCGGTGGTCCGAGTTTCCGAGTTGTCTTGAACGCGTTAAATACGTTGTGTGATGACGCGTCGGTGCTACGTGTCTAGGAAGTCATCCAGTCAACATGGCGACGCAACAAGGAGATGTTGATGAACTCTTCGATGTGAAAAATGCTTATTATATTGGCAGTTATCAACAATGTATCAATGAAGCTCAGAAAGTTAAGGTAATTATCTGCTGATAAACCGTTTGTGCAACATGGCTAATAGCTAGTCTTTCTGTAGTGTCGATGTAATACGTTTGGACTGGCTAGCTAATGTTAGCTAATCAGCTAGTAGCTGCTAACGTTAACATCTGTTATAAAAGCAATTCAAGGAATTAGATCATGTTAAATAAAAAACATAACCTACTTGCTATTTCCTCTTTATAGCCATCAACACCTGAGAAGGAGGTTGAGAGAGACATGTTTCTGTACAGAGCATATATTGCCCAGGTAAGTTCATAATTGCACAGATGGAGATATACTTATTGGAATGTGAAATTACGTGTGTAACGTTAGTGTCACTGTGCAATAATTACTATATTGTTTTTATTGTCTAATTTTGAACTATAACTTTATCATCCGAAGATGCTGCCGTTATAAGTTCCATTAAGACACTGCCTGTCAGTATTGTATCAGTTCTCATCTCCTGTATCATTTCAGAGGAAGTATGCTGTGGTGATGGATGACGTCAAGGCGAGCTCCTCGCCAGAGCTCCAGGCTGTCAAGATGTTTGCTGAGTATCGCGCCAACGAGGGCAAAAGGTTTTATTCAGTCAATGTAACATTAAACAGTCAATATAACAACCCACCTATGTAATTAAAATGAAATGCTCTTTGTTGACTCCTTTGGTGGTGTAACAATATTGCTGTCTTTGTTGCTTGTGCAGGGATGCCATTGTGGCTGAACTTGACAAGAAGATGACCAAGAGTGTAGATGTGGCCAACACAACCTTCCTGCTCATGGCTGCGTCCATTTACTACCATGAGATGAACTCGGATGCTGCCTTGAGGACCCTGCACCAGGGAGAAAGTCTGGAGTGGTAAGGACGATCACAGGATACTATTCATGTTTATAGCCCCTGTTATTATGTGTTATGCAATACGTGAATGTCCTTCTTTTTCTGTTCAGCATGGCAATGACCATTCAGGTGCTGCTGAGTTTAGACCGTGTTGATTTGGCAAGGTATGTCTGCTCCACACACCATCTGATTAAATGCCTTTTAAAATACTTTTAAGTAAATTTAGTTCAAAGGATTCAGCTAATTGAGCACATGATTCAGTGTTGGTCATATATGGTGTTGTTGACTTATTTTGACACAAAGGAAAGAGCTGAAGAAGATGCAGGAGCAAGACGAGGATGCCACACTGACCCAACTGTCCACGGCTTGGGTCAACATCGCTGTTGTGAGTGTCAGGCCATAGTGAAGAACCCCTACATGCTATAATACATCAGTGGAGCGGGCCTCATTGCCCCTCACCTGAAAAAAAAATGGCTTTTATTGACAGAGCACCACTCTAAATGGAAAAGTAGTCATCCCTTTAGGACTGAAGTCAACTCAATTTCTGTTTTTCATCTGATCAACAGAAGAAGGAAAAAAAGGACTCTTGCCTTTCCCTTTTTTTTCAGGGAGGAGAGAAGCTGCAGGATGCTTACTACATCTTCCAGGAGATGTCGGATAAGTACACCCCCACTTTGCTTCTGCTGAATGGCCAGGCTGCCTGCCATATGGCCCAGAACAAGTGGGAGGAGGCAGAGGGGGTTCTCCAGGAGGCACTAGACAAGGTCATTACTTACCTCAAATGCACTCTAATATCAACTGTAGACATATTTCAGAGATTAAGCTGTAGAGACGTCTAGAGGGTTGTTTAAATATAGATGAACACTATTTGATAGCATAACATTATAGGGCGTTACAGTGAAGAAATGTATTGGTACAATTTGAATTAGTTAAACCGATTAGTGGTGTCTGTTGTCTTATCCAACCACAGCAATACAAGTTTAGTGTCATCATAAGCAAAATACTTGCAGTTATAGCAATTGTCCAGTAGGTGGCGCCAAATGCTTACAAAATAAAAATAAAAACCCTAGACCTGCAGTTGATCGAAGATGGGGAAAAGTGGTCCAGAGTATAACCAACACCTTGTTGGGATGTCACAGAAGACTGATCCTTGATGAAATTATTACACATAAAGATGTCACATATTTTACACTTGTTCAGACAATGTAGCTCAGTTGGTAGAGCATTGCACTTGCAACGCCAGGGTTGTGGGTTCGTTTCCCACGGGGGGCCAGTATGAAAATGTATGCACTCACTAACTGTAAGTCGCTCTGGATAAGAGCGTCTGCTAAATGACTAAAAATGTAAATGTCAAATTGTGATATAAATACACTAGTAATGCAGTTGTTGTATACATATTTCAGAAAATGTGATGAAACGTGTATGAATGAAACGGGGTAATGAGCAAGGTCATACAGTGCATCGAGACATTTCTGTGAGAAACAGTGGGTGTTTTCCAACCTCTTATAGAGTCTGTTTTTCCCCTAACAGGACAGCAGCCACCCTGAGACTCTGATCAATCTGATTGTGCTGACCCAGCACTTAGGCAAAGCTCCTGAGGTAAGATTTTGCATACTTTTTGCCACAGATACTGAGAAATGTTTGTCTCTAGCTAGGTTTAATAATAATATGCCATTTAGCAGACGCTTTTATCCAAAGCGACTTACAGTCATGCGTGCATACATTTTTGTGTATGGGTGGTCCCGGGGATCGAACCCACTACCTTGGCGTTACAAGCGCCGTGCTCTACCAGCTGAGCTACAGAGGACCACGACCAGGTTTGTTTGGCAGACATTATCAAAGCTTTGGAATGACAAAAGGGGGTTTATTCAATTTGCTGATATCTTGCACATTAGTGCCCTTCTCCTTAAACAGCAATAAACTCAGAAGACAAAGTTCTAGGGATAAAGTCTCAAAAAATTCTGCTTGTGATAGTGAGTAAATAATATAATCTTGACTATCTACAGAACACTTTCTTCAATTGGGGTCAAAGTAATCACCAATCAAGGTTATTGAACTCAACCGAGGTGTATATAGATAAGACCTTGTTCTAATGATTTATGATAATGATTTATGAATGTTTTTATATGCATGAACTTCCTTAACATCAATCGGTTATGTATTTGTTGGCAGGTAACCAACCGGTATCTCTCTCAACTGAAAGATGCCCATAGAGCTCACCCCTTCCTTAAAGACTACCTGACCAAGGTACGTGGATTACATTTGCCCATACACATTTCTACTTCAAATCAAATGTTATTTGTCACATGCGCCGAATACAACCGGTGTAGACCTTACAGTGAAATGCTTACTTACAAGCCCTTATTAACCAACAATGCAGTTTTAAGAAAAATATGTGTTAAGTAAAAAAATCAAATAAACATTAAAGAGCAGCATTCTTCCTTGTTACAACCTTAGCTCTCTTGGAAGTAAATTAAATGATTTGATTGGTGAGCACTGCAGCATATCAAGTCTGAGCATTTAAAAATAGTTTGACTTTGATTTCATAGACTTCACTACACACACCATAATTACCCAATTTAAGAAGTGTAAATCAACATTGAAAAGTCTGGTTGTATCGTTTGTTAAACCAGTTTATTTCAGTCTACAACAGTGTCACTAGTTAAACATTTTCTACCATGTGTAAAATGCTTCTACTTTTTTACCTCAGGAGAATGAATTTGACAGACTGACGATGCAGTATGCTCCCACTGCAACTGCGTGAGACAATGGAGGAATCTGTTTGGACCCCAAAACATTATTAATACTGGACACACAACTGATGGCTCCATGTCTCTTTTTGTCTATCAATATGACAAATGCTAAACTGTATGGATTAAAAGTGACTTGCACATTTAGAAATTTGAAGAATAAAAAAATACACTTTTTGTCACTCTGTTTCCTTTTAGCATTCCTCAAAAATTTACAAAAATGTTTTATGACCCTGTTTACACCCAGTGTGTGTCCGTGTGAAACCAGTGGTGTAGTGGAGGGTACCAACTTGTTAAAATGTTCTTTAGCCAATAGTTTACCCACCTTTTGCGGAAGAGTGCATTGAATGTATAGGGAGTGTTATTTTTTTCACCGCGATCAGAGTTTACCCACCTATCCCCCCCCCCCCCCCCCACTATGCGTGTGAAATTATCAATTTTTTTTATGAGTGGGCCATTAAATTCATGATTTATAGAAATTCCTCTGTGCATGCCCAATGTACAGGTATATTTTAACTATCTACCCTACACTGAGTGTACAAACATTAGGAACACCTTCGTAATATTGAGTTGCACCTCCTTTTGCCTTTAGAACAGACTCAATTTGTCGGGGCATGGACTCTACGAGGTATCGAAAGCGTTCCACAGGGATGCTGGCCCATGTTGACTCCAATGCTTCCCACAGTTGTGTCAGGTTGGCTGGATGTCCTTTGGGTGGTGGACCATTCTTGATACACACAGGAAAGTGTTGAGCGTGGAAAACCCAGCAGCGTTGCTGTTCTTGTCACACTCAAACCGGTGTGACTGGCACCGTACTACCATACCCCATTCAAAGGCACTTAAATATTTTGTCTTGCCCATTCACCCTCTGAATGGCACACATACACGATCCATGTCTCAAAAATCCTTCTTTAACCTGTCTCCCCCCCTTCATCTACACTGATTGAAGTGGATTTAACATGTGACATCAATAAAGGATCACAGCTTTCACCTGAATTCACCTGGTCAGTCTATGTCATGGAAAGAGCAGGGGTACCTAATGTTTTGTATACTCAGTGTATATTTACCAGTGGTGTAAAGTACTTAAGTAAAGAATACTTTAAAGTACTACTTAAGTTGTTTTTGGGGGTATTTGTACTTTGCTATTTATATTTTTGACAACTTTTACTTTTACTCCAATACATTCCTAAAATAAAATATGTACTTTTTACTCCCATAGAATTTCCCTGACACCCAAAAGTGCTAGTTACATTTCAAATGGTCAGGTAAGTACAGCAATATGGTCCAATTTGCGTACCTACTAATATAACGCGTTGTGATCCCTACTGCCTCTGATCTGGCGGACTCGCTGAACACAAATACTGTGTTTCTAAATGTTGTCTGAGTGTTGGAGTGTTCCCTTCTGGCTCTAACAGGATCCAGCATTTCTCAGATGTAACCTTGTATGTTACGGCACCTATTTGCCCGGCTCTGGTACCTCGCAGCATTATTTATACAATTTGTTCACTGTTTGCACAGTAAAAAAAATTTAAAAAGCGATCAGAGTTAAATCAAGTTGCCTCTAGGTTATTTCTCCCGCCTCCTGCGCAATCTTCCTAATCCTTCCACACTGATTTCAGACCTGCTCTCTTATTTGTACATATAGGTTATGGGACGGGCCGGCGAGGTAAGTAACTGATCTTGAAACAGGTCTTGGCAGTGGTGGTCAGCTAGTGAAAAGGTCTGTCTGTACGTAGCCTAGGCTAGTTGTCTCCCTACTGAATTTGAAACAGGGAAAGCCAAATAAAAAATGAATAAGAAAAGGCAATCAACTTTGACGTTTTTCAAGTCCAAAAATCCTGAAAAGTATGGTGAATCGAACCCGAAATGAGCCAGAGAACTGTCAGTTCCGGATGAGAGGAGTGAGAAGCAAACTGCTCCTGATGGCGATGCCTCAGCTAGCAGTGCTGCTTATCCCGCCAGTTGAAGACCAAGCAAATGTATAACCTCTGGCTTGGCAAGCAAAATTCAAAGCTGGGCTGTACAACATGCAAAAAGGTAGGGAGTTTGGGCCCGGAAATGACTGGAGGGATGAAACTAGCAAAAGAGTTGGTGGAATGTACAGTAACATCCTCTGCCTCCAACATAAAAAAGCAACAAAGAGCCCTCAGAATTTTTTTTTTTTTAACATGCCCAAACCAAGGCCCATTTAGCGGCAGCAAGCATTGTACACAAGGCTAAAGAGGACACCTTAACACAGGTTGTAGTTAACGCTCAAAATAAAAACATAGACACTACAGCCAGTCTTCCGAACAGTTTACAAGGAGGCTAAAAGTCACAGACCCGATCATGGTTTTGAGCAAGAAATTGACTGTCAGGAGTTAAATGGATTTGACATGGGGAGAATTCTCCATTCCAATGTTGCTTGCTCCAACATACAGCAACATATTTCCTCCGAAATGAAGCGAAAACTATTTGAAAGAATAGTACAGTGCTCTCCCAAAATCTGCCTAATGCTCGATGAGGCTACTAGTTTGAATAAAAAGAGTGCCTTGATTGTATACATCAGACTTCAGCTGGCAGATATGGACGTACCAGCAAACATTTTTGTTGATCTTGTGGAACTGGAGGATTTATCTGCTGGGGGAATTGTCCGTAATCTGTTATCTGCATTAGAGGGTGTAAAGTTTACTGAGGACTTTCTCTCCAAAACCCTAATTGGAATTACGTGTGATGGTGCGTCTGTCATGCTATGAGGCAAGAGCCGAGTAGCAACAAGGCTCCAGGCCCTCTTCCCTAATGTAACCATTTGGCACTGCTCCGCACACAGGCTTTATCTCGCAGTAGGCGATGTCAATCATTTAAAAAGACTTATGGACAAGCTATATGCGCTTCATAGGGTATCCAACAAAAACCGAATGGAGCTGAGGGACTGAACAGAGAGTTTAGACATTAAGCTGTGCAAAATCGGCCGGATCTTGGACACTAGATGGGTGGCATCCAGTTTTAGAACTGTAGAGTCTGTGTGGAAAAATTACCCGGCTCTTCACAAGCATTTCACCATAGCAGTTGAGGATGCCTCCCGCATCGGCGTGACTCGTCAGAGCTATAGTGGCCTTGCCATGCGCATATCCTCGCATGCGTTTGTTAACAATCTAGGCCTTATGTTTGATGCACTTCAAGAACTATCTGAATTGTCACTCGAGATCCAAAAGAGAGACTGCACAATTATTACTGCACACAGGGCAGTCACCAGGGAAGCGAGGGTGTTCAGTGCAATAGCAGAGCAGCCAGGCCAACACACACAACTCAGCCAGAGAGGGATTCAGGAGACCTCTTTCCAAGGCGTCAGAGGGAGGTTTTCGAGAGCTTGGCGAGGAACATGGAGGCTAGAATGTTCTCTCAATGAGGATGGGCGGTGGACAATATAGGACACAGCCAGTTCATATAGGAACTGAAGGCGCTGTATGCGCAATACTGGCCGAAGGACGCAGGAGCACTGTATGTAGAAACAGAGATAGAATCTCTCTGCCAGCGGTTTGGCATTGACAGTCCACGTACAGTCATACGGGCATACAGGCAGTACAGGGACACTAATGGTAATGATAAAGGAGCCATTCCAGATGGACTTAAAGAGCTGTTGATGGCGGTCAGCACCATCCCCATATCCAGTGCAGAATGCGAGCAGGGATTTTCTCAAATGAATCTGATTTGCACCTCAACCCGAGCCTCTGCATACCTCCACCATATCAGGGCTACTCTTTCTGAACATTGTTGGCCCACCCATGACCAAATTCAACCCAGTCCCCTATGTGAGGTCATGGATTGCTAAAGGACACAGATGTGTCACAGACACCAGGAGCAACTCAAGAAATAGGGAGGAGAAGACGCACAAGGAAATGGCTGTGTTGTGGGAGGTTTTGGTAAGGTAGGGAACTAAGGTAGGAACTAAGGTAGGAACATCTCTTTCCTTTACAAACTTGTTCTGTGCTGTGAAGTTAATCTGAATATGCGCTTCATATTATCACATAGGCAGGAGGCATATACAGTTGAAGTCGGAAGTTTACATACACTTAGGTTGGAGTCATTAAAACTTGTTTTTCAACCACTCCACAAATTTCTTGTTAACAAACTATAGTTTTGGCAAGTCGGTTAGGAAATCTACTTTGTGCACGACACAAGTAATTTTTCCAACAATTGTTTACAGACAGATTATTTCACTTACAGTGGGGAATTTTTTTATTTAGACAGCCACCAATTGTGCAAGTTCTCCCACTTAAAAAGATGAGAGAGGCCTGTAATTTTCATCATAGGTACACGTCAACTATGACAGACAAAATGAGAAATAAAAATCCAGAAAATCACATTGTAGGATTTTTTATGAATTTATTTGGAAATTATGGTGGAAAATAAGTATTTGGTCAATAACAAAAGTTTCTCAATACTTTGTTATATACCCTTTGTTGGCAATGACACGTTTTCTGTAAGTCTTCACAAAGTTTTCACACACTGTTGCTGGTATTTTGGCCCATTCCTCCATGCAGATCTCCTCTAGGGCAGTGATGTTTTGGGGCTGTCGCTGGGCAACACGGACTTTCAACTCCCTCCAAAGATTTTCTATGGGGTTGAGATATGGAGACTGGCTAGGCCACTCCAGGACCTTGAAATGCTTCTTACGAAGCCACTCCTTCGTTGCCCGGGCGGTGTGTTTGGGATCATTGTCATGCTGAAAGACCCAGCCACGTTTCATCTTCAATGCCCTTGCTGATGGAAGGAGGTTTTCACTCAAAATCTCACGATACATGGCCCCATTCATTCTTTCCTTTACACGGATCAGTCGTCCTGGTCCCTTTGCAGAAAAACAGCCCCAAAGCATGATGTTTCCACCCCCATGCTTCACAGTAGGTATGGTGTTCTTTGGATGCTACTCAGCATTCTTTGTCCTCCAAACACGACGAGTTGAGTTTTTACCAAAAAGTTATATTTTGGTTTCATCTGACCATATGACATTCTCCCAATCCTCTTCTGGATAATCCAAATGCACTCTAGCAAACTTCAGACGGGCCTGGACATGTACTGGCTTAAGCAGGGGACACGTCTAGCACTGCAGGATTTGAGTCCCTGGCGGCGTAGTGTGTTACTGATGGTAGGCTTTGTTACTTTGGTCCCAGCTCTCTGCAGGTCATTCACTAGGTCCCCCCGTGTGGTTCTGGGATTTTTGCTCACCGTTCTTGTGATCATTTTGACCCCACGGGTGAGATCTTGCGTGGAGCCCCAGATCGAGGGAGATTATCAGTGGTCTTGTATGTCTTCCATTTCCTAATAATTGCTCCCACAGTTGATTTCTTCAAACCAAGCTGCTTACCTATTGCAGATTCAG